CTTCGATCGCGTTTGAGAGGCGTTGTTCCAGTGAGGAGTTTAATCCTGTTAGGATCATGGATTTCATTACGATGGGTCCGACCTTCGCGTCCCATTCCAGATTCTGCATCTCATTGATATAGTCATCGATCATGCCAGTTTGACGGAGCTTATCCATCTTCTGTTTGGCTTGTTCTTGACTTGTTCGATGGTCATATTGGATCCGTAATTCGTTTTTGAAATTCTCACACGTCCCGATGCTGGGATCAACCGATAATCGTTCCACGAAGTTTCGCCAAAATTTTGCCGCACTCCCGGTTAGTTCCAGGGATACCCACAGGATTTTGGTCTGGTCGTCCCACCGGACCTTCCTCTGAAGTTCAATTAAGACTTCCATTTGGTCGATCCAGTGCCGCACATCTTCGTCGGCTTTTCGGGAGAAGGAGATTTTTGCCTGTTTTGGCGTATCACCCAGGGTGGCGCGAGGAGGGTGCATGAGGTCTACCTCTTGCTGCCTGTTACGGCGCCTTCGCTCCTCCCGTCTCCTTTGCCTTCGTTCGCGTGCCCAGCGATCGCCCTCTGAATCTGAGGAGCTGGATGAGTCGGAGGGGGATGGGTCTCGAGGCCTTCCGCGATTCCCGCCATTGCCATTATTGCCATTTCCTCAGCTGCCTCCTTGCTCGCTTCGCTGGCTTCTTGCCTCAGAGTGGGGGGGTACGGGGGGTTGGCTCCCTGATCCTTTCGGTCTCTCTCCGGAATTACTGGGGGGGTTCTGTGGAGGTTGGGGGGGGTACTACGCCGCCGCCTCCTGAGCATTCGGGGGCTGCTGCCGTTTTATTGGCTGCTACCCACATTTGCTGGATAATCTCCTCCAGGTTCTTCTTCGTACCTGCAAACTGGTCTTCCATCGCAGCTTGTCTGTCCCGCTCCATCCTCTCGAGGGCAGCCGTAACCTCCGAGGGTAGCTGTACCAGGCCATCTTTTGGGAGTTGCTGGACGAAGTTGGTCAGCGCGTTTATGTGCTGATCCTGTCGCTCCTGCCTTTCCTGATGTGCCCTAGTTGCTTCGACGATCTGCCAAGGACTTGACCGAGGTTGCTAGTAGCGGCGGTGGATGCCCCTCGTAGCTGAGCCATGACCCGGTTGAGCTGATTGTCGCGTTCGGCTCTGTCCCCAGCGAACTTGGCGTGGAGGTCCTCGACGATCTTGTTTGTATACTCTTGCTGCTGACGAGTGAGTTCCCTGAGGATGGGAATATCCCGTATGTGCATGCTGAATTCCTCGATCCCGCGGCTGAGCTGCTGCACCACGGGGGCCCCTTGTTGCTGTACTCCTTGCCCAATGAGGTCGTCAAAAGGGTTCTCCACTCGTCGCTCTTCCACGTCCATGTTGGTATCCTCGTCCTCGTCCATTACCCGAGGCACCGAGGGCCTCTGAGTAGAGGATCTCTCTCTGATGGGGGTGACGTATGGGGAGTACTCCCCGGGGTCTGCCTGCCGCCTCCTCGCCTGCCCATATGATTCTTCCTGCCTCGTCGATGCGAAGAGGGAGCCTATCGGCACATCTCTCTCTTTCCTGTGGCGTCTCTTCGCCTGGGTTTCCAATATACCTCGATCTCTGAAGGCGATTGAGCTCTCCATGTTGTAGTCTTCCTCCGATCGTTGCTGATGAGCCCTTGACATTGCTAAGTTGCTCGAGTTTGAGCTGTGGTTGCCTTCTACACCAGGGTTGAGCGGTGCACCAGGGGACTGGGTGAGCAAGTCCAAAAGACTGTTGGGAGAGAGTAATCTCGATTGGTAAAAGTTCTGGGTAGTTGAGGATTTCGGGGTCGTGTTCCTCGAAGGCGACGGTAGTTCCTGCTTCTGCGAAGAAACCTGTGTAGTGGAGGTATCCGCAGTATAGATGTTCGGCGCTTCCTCTTCGTAAGATGAAGGATGTAGCGCAAAGGTAGTTGTTGATGGCTGCTGTTGCCACTCGGGGGTGCATATAGTACCTTGGTCTTTCTAATAGACTAAGCGCTTATTCTTCTACTGAGAGCACGGTCACTATCCGCCACTAAGCAAAATACTCAGAGTATTGGTTTAAGCGACTAGTTGTCTTATCGAGACTTCGGTAGTGTACGCGATAGATAAAGAGTAAAAGTTAGGGATAAGGTACAATATAGTGTTTGAAGAAATAGCCAGTGCTAAGCGATAATTCTGTAGCGTTTAAACTGATGATATTGTAAACCGGATTCCCTTGACTTGGTGGTTGATGATACCCTCAAGTCTTCGGAGAATCAAGCCCTATTTATACATGTTTGGGACCTATTCCAAGGCCCGCTTTCTAATACTAACTGACACAACGATAATAGAATAAGATAATGCTCCCGAAGATAACCCAGATAGAAAGCGGCCCCGCATAGTTCCGTCCTCCATTCTAATTCCGACACGTAGCCATGAACCTTGCAATTGCCAGTCATCGGGTTGTACCATACTATTATCCTAGACCTACTTCCCTAAGTAGAACAGCCTACAGCCGTAAACCCCGCTTCCTATTCTATTTCGGGTGAGACACCCCATAGTAAGCGTGCCGTGATAATAGTATGGGACTAGTGTGGTAACACCGCATGCCCCCACACTACCCAATACCTTTCTATGCTTGTCCTTCCGTTACCCGACCATCCTCGCATCACAGCCTGTCACTCGTATTCCTCACTGTCCTAAGCCTCTAGAACAGTGTTCCATAGTTCCTATAACAAAACCACTTGTATAAAACTATGGCTGCAGTTTTGTCAGTGTTTATTCTTTCATATCCAGCAATTGCAACAGCTACACTCCTTTAAATACCAGTTAACTTCCATCTCGGGCGTAGTTTTTATCGAATCATGATATGCAATTAATATCCGAAATACATGTAATGCGCTGTAACCAATAGGAGACGTTCCTAGTGACGATGCGGAAGACTATAATATTTAGACATTCCAGATAACCACTTGATTTCCGAACGGGCCTTAACATCATAAAACAATTATATCAATTGATTACCTACCTGGTAATATATGCTGTTACTCAACCAAAAATTATAGGTTTAATTCTCATAGATGATTATTTTTTTCTTCATACAACATCAATGTACGAGTTTACTGATTCCTTTACCGATAATGTTACTAAGGTGTTTACTGACTCCTTCACCGATAATGTTACTCATACATTTACTGATTCATTTGTCATACATATTCGTAATTATATTGTCGCTGAAAAGTCAATATCAGGAAGTCGTCAATTAGATTGGGAGTCATATGCCGATCATTTTATGATTTATTCACTGAGGCATGAAGGAAGAGGGTTTGTTAATACGGCGGATACGTTTATACCACATTTTGCGATCTATTTCTGGTTCATGGCCTGTCACTCGGTCCATCTGACGACATCTATGTTGGAAAATCTTTTCTTTTTGCATGATTCAGTAATTGCATTCTAAGCTGGAAATAAATGGTCGTGAAGAATAATAAATAATAATAAATGCCGAACACTGTGACTTTCTCAATTTTTGTTTGCTTAACTATAATAGAGAGGGCATATAAAGCCCTTATTCATACAAGAATATTGTGCCTAGAACAGTCTTTATATGACTACATATTGACATATATACTGACACTCGTATGAGTATTAGAACATAGCTGCTAGGCTCGGAACACAATTCTAACAATCTAGAGTGGTTGTTTATAGTCTATTGTGTGCATCGAACTCATGTCACCTTTTCTATGGATAGTGAAGCCTCTTCAACTGCAACCGAAGGAGGTCATACCATATTTATAGCCGTAATGGATCTAATTATATAGAGCACTCCCGCCTATTTGCTCATTTCTCTGTAACATACTATAACGGATTTGATTGACTATGCTGTTCTCTATCAGTCTTACTATATGTATGGGGGTCGACATCATGCTGTGGTGACTCTGAATATCCTTCACACTTCTGAAGGCTTCACCTGGGATAGCGGTGGCTAATAGAACTGCTCCTATGGATAGAATTAAAAGGATGGACTTGCAATAGAGTATACCCGGTGCGTAGAATTTTCGGATTCTCTGTCCCTGATTAAGCATGCCCTCACCCCCAGAGCAACTATCCCGGGATGCGTCGAGTTTTCATTTGTCGCTCCTGTCGGGATCGATGTTACGATAAGCCGTTGGTTGATCAATCTATTCACAGGGAATGTATATATCACTAACACTATCTCATCCTAAACCTTTCTAACGTATCTGAGATACGCGAATTTTTAGATGGATGAACCACGTGGCCCAATGATCATTCGATGCGAAGCGCTTCCGTGAACAAACCTTAAGCCCCAACAGCTAGCTAGTAATAATCCTCCTCCATATCATCAAATCACACCTTATTTCGGAGAAAAATATCTACAACCTCAACCGTTCCGTTTATGTACCGAACTGAAGAAGAGCGTGTATACAACCCCCCCCCCCCCCCCTCTTTTCACTCTCTTCCCTCGGGATGCAGCGTTGGGGAAGAGCGCTTATGTGCAGTCAGATACGAATAAAATACTGACACAGCGCCAGATAGTCCCACCCACTCTATTCTTCGCATCTATATGGAAGCCCAATGTGTTGCCTCGATCCCATCTTCCATTCCTTCGATAGACTCTTCGCCGCAGTTCGGAAAGGAAGGAGGCGAAAACGTCAGAGCGGTCCAGTGGGAGTGTAAGCCCCTGCTCCAGATCCCAGCGTTAACAATACTGCTGGGAATTATGCAATCCCCAAGATACCTGAAGTTGCTACCGAGCCTAGGGGCACCCATGCACACGACAACCACAAAAGGGCACAAGAGATACCAGCGGTAACCCCTGAAAATAATGAACAAAGGAATAGTAGGTCACCCTACTTCATATCACCTCGTTGTCTCATCGTTGCAAACTAAGCTCAGCAAACTCGGTAGTGCTTCCAAGCTCCGAGTCCCCAATGGATAAAATCACCAGATTGAATAACATTAGCACTACATCCTATGACCGTTACCAAATATCAGGGGGATGGACGACCTCGAAACAGCGATAATCAACGCTGAGGCAGTGCTGAACATTGTATTATCTGACACCAGCCTCTCATCTACCTACCCCAACCTCCCTACAATGGAAAGCAACCTGAGCTGCTACCTTGGGCGCCGGTATGATCACCATGGAAGGCTTGCCGATCTTGACCTTGCACTTGAGTACGGCAAGGAAGCTGTAAGGGTCACCGTCCCCAGTGACCATTGTCTTGCTGGACGACTGGGGAACTTGAGTAATCCCTATGATGCACGATACCAGCGACTGGATGACATGGGTCACCTGAATCGAGCAATTGAGTATGGGCAGGCTGCAGTGGAAGCATCGACACTGGAGGATAGTGATCAAGGGTACACTCCTATTGCCCTTGACCATCTGAGCAGCTGCCTGTATGCTCGCTACACTCGCACATTGGACCAAAATTATCTCGAAGCGGCGAGATCGAATATAAATAAAGGAATTGGCTTGCTACAGGCCTGTATAGTGTCCGAAGGTCGAGACCTTAACAATGATGCTCAGTATATAAGCTCGTTAAATAATCTCAGCACCTACCTCGAAGATCGTTTCAAACTACTCGGAGGACTTGATGACCTCGAAACTGCCATCAGGCACTCTGAACGTGTCCTTACAGCCATGCCAAAAGGCTACCCAAACCGCCTTGGAAGAATCAATGGTTTAACCAATCGCTACCATATCCGTTACCTTGCTCTAGGGAACGTCACAGATCTTGAAAAGTACCTAACATATGCAAAGGCGTTGGTCGAAGCGACCCCTGCCAACCATCGACTCCTCGCGTCTAGACTGATGGTGTTGAGTAACCGCCATCGGGCACGTTTTGATCGCATCGGGGACATCGAGGACCTCAATCTGGCCATATCCTATGCACACAACGCTCAGGTGGAAACACCCCCGGACCACCCACGTAAGGTCGAAAGACCGATTGCTCTAAGTGAGGGGTTCCATTTTAGGTACGAGCGCTTCGGAAAGGTTGATGATCTTGAGGCTGCTATCCACCAAGCGGAAACCGCACTCGCGTCTACTCCTCATAATAATCTACGTCGTCGGGTATTTGTTTGAGTGTTCTTAGTGTCTTTGCGGACTCTCGGTACCACCGTTTGGGCGCACTGAAGGATCTTGAAGCAGCGATTGGATACTCTGAAGAGATTTTAAAGGCTACTCCTGAGACCAGTCCTACTCTCGAAGAACGCTTAAATAATCTAAGCACCCACTATTATGGTCGATACCAGCGCCTCGGGGAGCAGGTAGATCTCGAAGCAGCCATTCGTACTGCGAAGGCAGCTTTGGTGACTACCACTGATAACAGTCGTACGCGGGGAACCATTCTCAGTAACCTGAGCGCCATTTTGCTTTTCGGGTGCTTGTCCAGTACAGCATCAGCACACGATGAACAGATAAATGACCTCCTGGATGAAGCAATCGGCTATGCCCAGGAGGCGGCCAGGTTGACATCGGATGACGATCCCTATCTGCCCCAGAGATTCAAGTAGTACACTCTTCGAGCGGAGATTTGTGCAGAAGGAACAGGTAATAGATCTAGAAGTCGCCATCGATCATGGGGAGAATGCTCTGGTTCATATACCACTTGATCATCCAGATCTTGCAGACTTGTTGATCAATCTAGCAGACACCTTCGTTCTTCGCTACAATCTCTCCAACTCCCTTAGTAACGGGAGACGAGCACACTCTATGTATCTTGGTGCCTGGAATTGTCTTCAGGCCCCACCACTTAAGCGTATAAACGCTGCCCGGCGTGCAGTACAGTTGTTTCCATCCCTGAACTCGTGGGACAAAGCAAGCTCGATGCTTGAAGATGCGGTTCAACTAATGACGAAGATGAGTCTGGCCAGGTCCCTTGAACGAGATGACCAACAAAAGGTTCTGGGAGATCTATACGGACTCTCAACGCTAGCCGTGGCCGCTGCACTCGAGGCGGGGAAGGGTACGGTACACGCCCTTAGTCTCCTAGAACTAGGAAGAGGGATTCTCTCGGGTCATATCAGCGACACGAGAAGTGATGTAATGGAGTTGAAGCTTACGCATCCGAAACTATTGGAAGATTTTCTTATCCTTCAGATGGAAATCAATGCCCCATTAGAGAAAACCTCCGATACAGAAATTGCTTTCGCCAGACGGAAGGATGCAATGGGGCAGTTTAACCGCATCTTGGCCGATATCCATGCCATCCACCAATATAGAGGATTTCTGTTGCCCTCAATAGCAGAGAGTATGTGTAAGACTGCAGAGGGCGGCACTATTGTGGTTGTCAATTGTACTGAGATCAGGAGCGATGCGATCATAGTCACCAGATCAGCTATCACTTCTATCCCACTCCCAAAACTGATCCACAAAGAGATGAAGTCACAGATGAGCCAACTACCCGGGCTGCTCAAGAGACTTGTGAGGACATTTGCCAGTAGGAATAAAACATTGTGTGAGATATTACGCTGGTTGTGGAACGTTGCCGTTGAGGAGGTCCTCAAGAGTCTTCGACTGAAGGTGTTACCCGCTAGGTCCAAGCGGAAAAACACTACCTCCCCTCCTCGAATCTGGTGGATTGGGACAGGAGAAATGAGCATAGCTTCATTTCATGCCACGGGTATATATAAGCCAGGGTGCACGAGAAATACCCTGAGTCGAGTTTGCTCTTCATACATCCCGACTATCAAAGCTTTGGCATATGCTCGTCAGAGTAAATTCACCCTAAGGTCAAAGGATGCAGCAGGAACACCCAAGCATAAGATACTCTTGGCCACAATGCGAACCACCCCAAATCATGCTCCTCTTCCCAGCGTTGAGCTCGAGGCCTCCTCAGTTCACAAGATAGTAGGCCAGAAATTGGAGTTAACCATTCTGAGTCAACCCAAGGCGTCCGAGGTCCTAGAGACTCTCCCAGACTACGACGTGGTCCACTTCACCTGCCACGGAATGTCAGACAGGAAGAACCGACCAAAGAGCAGTTTGATACTCATTGACTCCAGCGATTCAGACAACCCGGTCGCCAATTACTTGACCATTCAGGCGATATCGGACGCGCATATCGAACGCGCACAGCTAGCATACCTTTCCGCTTGCAGCACTGCAGACAATACAGCAACTAACCTCGATGATGAAACTGTACACCTTGTAAGTGCGTTTCAGCTTGCCGGATTCACGCATGTGGTGGCGAATCTCTGGCAGTCGAAGGATGATGCATGTATGCAGGTCGCTGCAGATTTCTATAGTGCATTGTTGAATAGCGAGATGGAGGAGGGTGATGTAGCGCATGAGAAGGTTAGCTTGGCACTGCACGGAGCGGTAGCAAGGCTGAGGGAGGAAATGCCGATGTCCTCACTTGTCTGGGCTCCTCTCATTCATACGGGTGCCTGACATGCTGATTCTCTTATTTCCTACTTATGGCAGTGTTCTGGAATTACTTTCCTATTCTCATATAGCCTTCACTTTCCCGTTGTCATATCTCTCCTCTGAGAAAAATGTGTACATGAATCTTGCCCTTTTTTATTTTTCCTTTCAAGTCCGCCTTCGTCTTGCAACAGAGAATTGTAACTAAAGACCTGATCAGTTCTATTCCGCAGGAAGTTTCAGACCTAGAGTTCATTTCCCTCCCACCATGCCAGAGCCAGTGCCTCCAGCAGTGCAAATGATTGTCTTGAATTGGAATGAACGGCCTAATTGCAGGGTCAAGTACTGGAACCTGAGAGCTCTAGGAATAGTCCATGAATAAATAGGACGTCCACTAAACACATGAATATTGGAATAAAGGAAGAACGGACAAACATACCGAGGTATAGCGCCGCGCCGCGAAAGGGCGGACTGGGGGAGGTTTTATCCAGTTTGGTTATTTGATTACTCTCTGTATCGTCTCGACAAAAGGAGGTGGGTTGATTCCTGAATATTTATGGTCTAAGTCTCATTGGTCCAGATCGCATCTGCAGGTCAGGCGCTCTGCATGATAATGACCATTGTGTGCTAACTATCTGGTGTGACTCACAACCATCTATTCTTTCCCCGCGAGATGACCGAACCCAAAGCCACTCCTTCTCCAGTACTCAGGCTTCCAAAAACCTTTCATTAACTAGAATCGGGGAATACTGACTGAAACTAACATCGCCCCACTGACCTTGTCACTCCCAGCAGGTGGCCTTCCACCAGTCAGTTCTTGCCCTATGCTCGCCCTTCCTACCGAGCTGATCCTCGACATCGCCCACCCTCTCGCTCTGCAAGATCTCTCTCACTTTATGAGAACAAGTCGTTCTCTCTGCAACATCCTCGCCTCCCCTCTCCATTCTTTCTCATTGAGCGCAAGGACGTGATCCTGGTCGACGCTTGTTCTCAAAACAACACCACCAAACTACGGGTCTCCGTCGCAGCCGGTGCAAGGCCAAAAACAGAACACCTAATGAGCGCATGTGGCTGGAAGGCCACCGCCGTCGTCATTGCGCTCATCGACGAGCACGCAGTCTCCACAAACGGCGCTCCCATCGACCCCAATATAACCCCCTATAACTACGGACCAATGACGCCCCTTGATAAGGCAACCCGCGCCTTTCGCATAGAAACTATAGAAGTGCTACTTGCCCGCGGTGCAAAGCCGTACCTCCGAGAGGCCACTTATTTCAGATCGTTCCTTTTTGACCCCGTCGTTTTCGCAATGTTTCACGCACGGGAGTTGTTGGTGCCTTTTGTCGAGCGTGGATTCCATCTCGAAGGTAGTAGGTTTATGCCCCGGACTGCTCTGGGGTTTGCAGTGCGATTCGGTTGTATTTCGACGGTGAAACTGCTGCTTAAGCATGGGTCGGACGTCAATCAGAGACAGCGATGCAACGGGATGACTCCGCTTCACGAGTGCTGCAAGCGGTGTGGGAATATTGAGATGATGACGGTGTTGCTGGAGGCGGGAGCAGACGTCGATTTGTATAATTGGTATGATCTGACCCCGCTTCAGCTGGCGATGTGTAGGGGAGATGTAGAGGCGGTAAGGCTGCTGGTGTTAGGGTTAGTTCCGTACGCATACGTGTTTGGCAGATGTTCCGGAGCCATCCCTGCTGATCATTGACCCACAAGCTTCGCTATTACGGCGGGTTACTGGCTAGTCAAAACTTTCAGCGGAAAGCACTACCAACTATCATCAACCCCGATATATCCGTAAAATTGCGCAAGCACTGCTGTCACTAAAGATTGAGCTTGATAGTTATTTGACTTGAAATCCTCCCCCCCTTTTCTTCCTTTATTCCTACCCATCTCTGTTTTCATCTGATTATTTTCCATCATGTATTATCACTCGGCTTGCGTTACCCATCATGCTGCTAATAACTCTTAACCTCGACCCTCGGCCCAGGGTTTGATGCAATAAAAGAGCTCTAGAACTCAGCAGCGTATCGATCAGTTATGGACGTATATGGGCTAGCTTGTGCATTAAGTAGAGGCATTGTGCACAGAATGATATTTACGTATATAACTCTTCGGGTAAACCTCTCGTGATCAAATTGATGAGACATACGAGTGTGTACTGTGTCCACTTATCGATTTGTTTTAGAAATTGCACCATCTTGTTGCTCCGTAGAATGAAATAATAGTCCCTATTTTGTTTATGTCGGCCGTATAGACGGGTGATCTATTGGGATTAAGCAATGTCAAAAGCCGACCGACACAAGCTCCAAGACAGGATACAATAGCTCTGAATATCTAGGACACGATACGAAGAGCCTCGATCGAAGAACAAGCGCTAAGCAGCAGAAGTCTCATTAGAGCAAGGCGGATGTGCCGGCCGCACGCATAATATTGAAAGTATTCAGATGCACCCCGTGGCTAATGAGATTCAGAACTTCCCTGCGTGGATATATCACCAGTTCCTCCATACCTCATGTTGAATATCACATCCTTACTTAATACCCGCCGTCAGGGTTAGTGAATTAAACAAAAAAAAGAGAGAGAAAAAAGATAAACCGCCTTCAGGGTTAGGGTTCCAATACTTTGATTAATATCCTCCCCAACTTCCCGGTGTACACCTTTATTCATACTTTCACATGGAATACACATAGTGAAAAACGATCTTAAAAACAACTTCCCAAAGAACTTTCCTTCTACAAACCCGAACAGCCGATTACCGCGGCTTCTGGTACCACATCCCAGCACGCGTTTTTATGTACGATAGGGTCATTCAAAATTCATTTTTTTCCGCCGCAAGAAATACCGGCCTACCTCACGTCCACACCTCCACACCTAGAGCAGATTTGTAAAGACTCGGAGCACTCTCTCAAGACCTCTAGTAGCCGTAGGTAATATCTCCCAAAATTGTCTTGTTCTATGCCACGACGAATAGACAGGCCATATAGCCATCAACAGATACCTAAAAAGAATAGGAAAGATCGAAAGTGCCGAATGCGAATGCGGCAAAGGGGAGCAAAGTGTAACCCACATACTCACCGAATGCGATGCAACGGCCGAAACCCGTAAATCCTTCAAAGAGCACAATACGGTTGTTAAACTCCTTTGGAAGGCAAGCGGTATTGAAGCAGCTACAAATATCTGGAAGCAATTTGTCAAATGGAGATATGAAAGGAACGGACAAGATGAGAATGGAGAAGAGGAGAGAAGGGAACTAGGGTACGGGTGGGGGATGCTGAAAGATGCGGGAAACGAGGAATAGAATAAAAAAAGAGTTCGGGAGAGTTTTCCTATGTCAGAAATATGTGAGAGGAGGTGGAGGAGAAGGGATAGTTCAGGGGTATTGCCATAACTGTAAAGTTGCATGCAATTAATGAATTAAACAAAAAAAAAAAAAGCCACGACGAATACTCAGGGTTAGGGTTAAATATTCCTATATTCTCCATTACAAATAATATTAAAGGAACTGAGGCTCTAAAAGGGGAGCGAGAAGAAGTATTGGAAACTATAAAGGTTCATGTCGGGGTCCGGCCAGGGCAATCGCGAGAGCGTAGAGTGGAGGCGGATGTTGGAGGAAGCTGGAGTTATCACAAACGACGGCGAACAGATGCAACTAGCAGATCATCGACAGTTACCGATAACCTCCGCAGCCGGGAGCTATGATATAGCGGGCTCCAATTAGTACCTCAACTAAACCCACGATCCCAACATCCCCACCCAGTACCCAGAAGAACACTACGTACACCATTCCCCATCGGTCAAGTCCGCTCCCGCTCCCCAAACCCGTTCCAAATACTAAACTCGGAAGTCACTATTTCTTCTTTATATATCTCGGGGTTGAGAGTACAAGATAACCAGTGGCTGGAAAACACCATGTGTATATATATAACACCGCCGCCGCAGAGGTACATATCTGTATTGATATTGTACCTCGCTGCGCACTGAGATGTTCGCATTCACCGGCGAGTACTCGGAGCTGACTAGAGGAGGACCGGAGGGAGGCCTAGTTTCGGGATACCCGCACCCCTAGTCGTGCACTTCCCGAACTTAGAAAGCCTCCGAAACCGCCGTCTCTCCAAGCACCGAGCGAGAATCGCATGCATCCCGACGCCTACCCTATACATGTCACCGTGGCCGGCTACACTTCCAAGATCGGCGCTTGAAAAGACTCACCTCCTCACCCCCCTCCTCCGCGTCGTGGCCTCTTCTATCAATAGCCCCTCAGCTCGTATCGCATCCTCAACAGCACGGACACAGCGCCGCACCTACTCTACTCTGCACACAGGGATACCCCGGCCACGCATCCGATCCGAAGCAATCCCCGCAACGTGATGCAGTTGGTGCCTTACATAATATACAGACAGCTACAGCTCAAGCTTTTCAGCTGGTAAATAAACTCAAAGGTCTCATCTAGCTGGTAGATACTCGTATCGTAATTGTGGTCTGTCGCATTTAGCCGGTGGGGCATTGAGGCGCTGTTAATACGGTTCCTGAATTCTCCAGGGTTCGCGAGACGCAGGTACACACACGTTCGGTACGGGGTCCGTCTTGGCGGTTATTCTGCAGGTTCTGTCTTTTTGGGTTGGTTAAAGAGATTGGGTCTTTGTACGACCGCCATCTACCCTGACGAGGAGGCTTAGATATAGGTGTGTGTTCTGTTATGGCGGAGGAGATAACTGTGGTGCTGTTTCGGGTAATTCTAGGGTGTGTAGTCGGGCTCGGGGAGGTGCGTAGCGGTTGGGTTGTTTGAAGAGAGAGTACTGCGGCCTGGGGGGCGGCGGTGGGGATAAAATGGTTGGACTGAGTGAGCGGGGCTAGTAGTGCGGATATCTTCGACCCCCAAGGCTGCGAAATTCGAGATCGATCTTTATGCTTGATCAATCTATAAACTTTCGGAGATTTAGATACGTTCGATCCACTCACTGCGTACTTACCACACAACAATCCCAAAATAGAAACGGAGCCACTAATACTAATGCTTTGCTATATAACTATCGACGATCAACTATAACTAAATATACCTACCTAGAAATACCCGGCTATCAGGAAAAACCATCAATAATATTCCCCCAAAGCCACAAACACCCGATGCATCAATATGGCGATTCCAGGTTGAGGGTCAAGGTTATATAAGGCCAACTGAACATCTCTGAGCCGTCACCCTCCCCCCTCCCCTTTTCTTCCCAAACACACAAGTCCATACGAGAGTACTCAAATGTCTTTCTTCTGTATTTAGAACAAGTATGTTTTGCCTGAGATCGACAATACCCAGGTTCGAATACACAGGGTTAGGGTTCCAACAATTACTGGGTTAGGGTCAATTGTTGGTACTAGACATCTCGGGAATATATACTTGTAAGCCCGTCTCTGGTCGATCAAAATCTTACCATTATAGCCTAGGCGCGCTTAGTTTGAAGACAGAAGAGAGCGGCGAAGGTGAAACGAAGAGCGTGCACATGTGTTATGTAGCTGTAGTTCGCCTTCGCCGATGATCCTGGCGGCCTCTACTTGTATAAAAATAAAAATAAAGCTACGAAATTATACCTGCTTACACGGTTAATCAAATTTTAAATGGGGATTAAGGCAGACCAGGACCGATCATCACTCTCACAAAGTACACTCCTAAAACCAAAACCCAAAACCAGGCACCCCCGCTGCGTGTAATCCTACCCCTCCCATCTCCCATCACTCATTTCCTACATCTATGTAACCCCACCTCAATCGGTACCTCACGATCCCACCCAAGCCTCCCTCCCTTCCCGAAAAATCTCGACCTGTTCGGCAAGTGGCCCGAAACCACCATACCCCTGTCGATCATTGACCCACCCACCCGCTAGTTAGCTGGATGTTTACGTCAGCCACCCTTGTCGCAGTCGGTATCATTGACCCTAATTCTTGGCATAGCTACATTGGGGGAGGCTGTGGGAGAGGGGCGCGGGTGGGTTCGTACCTGCGTCTACGAGGTCAGGGGTGGTTCTAGCCTAGCTGGTTAGCTGTTTAGTTTGCTGGGTTTTCTTGGGCTGGGTGACAGCGGTTAAATGTGTAGAGTATTGTAGATTACCTTGTAGGTACCTACATATAAACCGTAGTGTGAAGTCACCCCCTAGGCCAAGCCCTTGAGATAGACCATAACCTTTCAAGAAAGCCAACTACAAAAGGGCAAACAAAAAATCAAAAAGAATCAACAAAGCAGTAATAGTTGCGAAGCTAAAGCACTTTAACCCACTGCTAAATTACAGCTCGAATTTCCGCCTCGCACTCGTTCTTCACATAATAGAGAAAGAAAGAAAGAAAAAAAAAAATTTCTACCTTAGGAACCCCAATTAAGGCCACACTCCCGAAAAGCGCCCCCCAAAGTAAGAGTTAACGACACCACCGAATATCATGTAGGTATAACTACATCAGGAAGTACCACTACCCCTACAAACGATTTACAGGGATGCAGACACCCCTGTATATTTATACGAATACGAGCTGGCAATAGATATAGTACTAGGACAGAGGTTTTGGTAATATACCCTTTTTACAGCCAAAGTAGCCATGTTTAGCTACCCGAAGCAACCACCCAACCTCATCCAAAAAATTCCAAAGTTTCAAGGACAGTTGGGAACTATCTCAAGATGGAGCACAGAGAATTCTAGAATTTTAAGTCCATTCTTCAGGTGTGTGCGATCTAATTTTTAAAGTCATGGTTTGAGTGTTTCTGATTTTGTATGGTGTTCCCATACAAATTTCGTGCTACACCGGCAACCAAAATTTACCAAAACTTCTGTACCCTGACTGTAGATAGACAAATAGCTCCTTACTCATCTAATCTAGCAAGTATTACTATTCCAGCCGAAGATATATGTATATGTAGGAAAATTATGTTTCTATCGCCTGCAGCTAGAGGTGTGTTGGCCGTTGGGCGTATTGAAGTGGTAAGGATACTCAATCAAACACTATTCAATCAGATCTACTCCTGCCGGGTTTGAGGTTTTCGGTATCAAGTAATGACAAGCTGTCTTTCTTATATATTGTAATTGGGGCAGTGTTGACCGAGTGATTACTACGTATGTAGCTAGCGTCTATCTATTCGCTACCAATTTTATTCTTCGCCGCCAAACAGGCACTTCCCAAATTGAACCCGAATCCACATACATACAAACTAGGGGTGTGCCAGCTCGCGACCGCGAGTTATTATGTTGGATTATGAATATTAGGTGAATATTAATATTAAAGAGCATTTGATAGAGAGAACTCTTTCAGCCCGCCCCTCCCCCCGCCCTCCACCGCTCCCCCCGCCCCAAAAAAAAACACCTTCTACCTCCACCACCTCTCACCGCGCCCCCCCCCCCCCCCGGCTCCGTTCAGCTCTAGCTCTCCAGCTACCTATACTACCCTCCAATTCTTCCTTCCGCTCCCCCTTCTTGGATAGTTCAATTAAATTCGTATACCATTAGACAATACAAATAAAGACAAATAAATTATATTACAATAACACACACATATAGACCTTTTTGAATTAAATAAATATTAGAGCTTCCGTTGCCCAGCAAGAGTTTGGTTCCAACCTTTGGTGGGGTGCCTCCTAATCGGATGACAGATGCTCTCAGCCAATCGGATTGATTCCGTGTACGAAAATTGTTAACCCTCTGTCACCTAAATAGGAGTGAACAGTAAGCTCGTTAGTTAAGACAAGTGCACAATGCAAGTAACCTTAAGCTTTTTTGAACTTATTTGGACTATGGGAAGATGGCTTTGGGTAAGTAGGGTAAGATTACGTGTGGAGTGTAGGAGGGACGGTGCGGTATTGGTGGGCTGGGAAGTAAAGAGAGTTGTAATGATGATCGAACTTTGATCTGGGGATGGAGAAGATACATGTATGTATCGTGTGGGTTTGTGTGTTACCAGCATATGTAGTTAACTATTCACAAGAGAACCACGTTCACGGATCTTAGTCGAGATACATAGGTAGCGGGAGTCAATCTCACGTTCTAATTCTTGCGAGTGTAAATATCATATAAATCCGAACTATCTGATCGATTACAGCTATCCCCTAGTAAGACAAATATGATGTATCATTCTTCGACATTGACTCCCATCTCCTCCACTACACTAACCTCCTGCACCTCCTGCACCTCCTGTAACTCCTCTACTGCCTCCGCATTCTGCAGGTCCTCCTTCTCGTCCGATAGCATTTGCTTGTACTCCCTCCATCTCACCCTAAGACAGGGTTCGTCCGTGTTAAAGCCGGCTTCATCTAGGATTCTCTTGCACTCTTCTCTTCCCTCTAGGTACCACGGGTTTCTAATCCGCTTTGGGAACCAGCAAATAGGGTGTGTCGAATGCTGAGTCCAATTAATCAGTAGCCGTACCGCCTCCACGTGCCCTCTAGACATCGCTATCTGAAGAGAACTTAGACTGTTCATATCCAGTTCATCGGGATTCGCTCCTGCCTCGAGTAAAGCAGTCATTGTCTCGATACTTCCACGCACGGCACAACACTCGGAAAGTGGGGTGCGAAGCCAGGGGCATTGGACGTAATTGGCGTCACACCCGCTCTTCAGGAGCAATTTAACTGTGCCGACACAGTCGAGTCGCGCCGCGATCGAGAGCGCCGTCCGGGGCTGGAATATGGCATGTTCTAGATGATATCCAAGCTCGATAAAAGGCAGCAACATATCTCGTCGGTTATATATTGCGTGCCGGAGAGCATCATCGTATGCCCACCCGTTCGGTGCCAGTACGGTCGCACCGTATTTCAGTAACAACCGTAGAACCGTTAGATCGCCGCTGTCAACTGCACCCATGAGGTAATTGTAACCTCCACGCCTGTTGATCCGGACGCCGCTGCCACGTAAAGCATCAGGATCGTTCATCCGGATGCCGCGGGAAAGTAAAGCTTGCACGATTATAGGATGACCGCAGCGGACGGCTACCTGGAGTGGGTATATATCTTCATAGCGCCAACTGCAGCAATCGACAACATTTTGCCGCCAGTCGCAGCTGTTGACATCGAGTTTACCCTCATCGAGGAGTATGATGACGGCCTCGATGTCGTTCCGCCCGCATGCATTCAAGAGAAACCTCACCTCCGGTCGTGCGCCGACTGCAATGGCTCGTCGTATAAGGGTGGTTGTGTTGTGTGTGCAAGCATCTAACAGAATCTTATCCTTATGCTGGATGAAACAAGAGTGGAGACGCAAGGCTAGGACAGTGTTGAGGCGGTGGCAAGTTTGCATAAGGTGATAAAGGTCTTTCGCATCGATTGAATGGGCAATCTCTATGATCAGTTCGTTGGGGAGGGCTAGGAGTTGAAAATGTTGATCCGGCGCAGAGCCGACCAGTCGTAGAATGTTTGAAGCCATCTGATTTACTAATGTGCCACTGCGATGAAGAGAGTCACCTTGAAATTGTGCGTAGATACATGCTCGTGATCGAAGGTGAGGATTGATTCAAGCAAGAGTGAACTTGATCTGGTTGCTCTTATGACTCAGATACTGGCCGCATATTGTGATAGAAATTATATGCAGGCGGCTATAGCTCATATGCACCCCTTAGTAAGGGAATTATCTTGCTTTTTCCAGTTGCTAAGAACAACAGAGCCAATCACGAATTTACAACAATTACCATAGAAGGCTGGTGATGGCTGAAAGAGGGAAACTGGTCGCGAATTTAACAAAAGTCAATATGCGCCCGAGCGATACATAATTATTGGCTTCTACTGATTAGTGTAATTAAGGAAGCGATCAAGAGTTATATATCTCTGACACGAATCCTCCCTGAAATTTACTCGTAGCGAGGCGTTCCAAAGGTAAGTACCCGGTACCTTGACGGAAGGATTCCGATAAGTGAACTTAAGTGAACCTATACCTACGAACCTTCTCGATAGAATTTGCCTACAACGAGTATCGTCTACGGGTTAACTCTACCAAGTGATCTGATCCCAAACATTAACTTTCCTATAGCATCTCAGCGTGTGGTAGTTTTCAATAGGGCATCTCTTGGGGTGTTGATTCCGACAGAAGCATGCACAAGTAAGAAAAACCTCCGACTGGGAAACTGCTCATTCTCTCCCTTGTATCAGAACTGAGGATAAAAGCACCACAGTGCCCCTACCCCCGTTACACCCGGTAGGTTTCCAAGAGCATCATTGTGATACTTCTGTGTCTCAGGCTGAGCAGATGGCAGTCGATGAACCACTATATGTGCGTAACTTCCAGTCTGATATCTACTCCTGTTTTCGTGACGTTTGTAAAAGGTAACCACCACCGCATACCACACAAATACGCGCCAAGTCCACAATTTAGTATGGTCCGCAGTAGCGGTTCCTTTTACAAACGTCACGAAAATACGAGCACCAACCGCCAGAGATATATCTAGTACCTGCATGAGATGAGGCTGGCGCATGCTTCCTTATCCTTATCGCTATCCCGCATGCCCATGCACGGACCAACTGATACTGCAATCGATACCCAAACATGAGAAATCACTCGGCTAGCCGATAAGAAGTGCTATCTCAACACAGAAGCAACCCACAACCTACTCCACTCTCAACTAGCTGCGGTGGATCAAATCGTTACCACGCCTCCTTCTGGCTAGCAGCGCGGTAACTGCTCCCTTGGTGGAAATACAACGTACGGCCCTACATGCGGAGATGAGGCGCACGAAGCACCCACCGACCGAGTGACGCCCCATGCCCCGGAACTTACCGTCCTGACTCAGTCATATGATTAATCCCCAACCCACTGCACAAAGTGCTGACCACCCACCGACTCACGTGTTTGCGAATTTTTCACATGGCGTGTTCGCTCAAGACCCAGCAATCCAATTCAATTCGCCGGCTCCTACCCAATAGCCAATGGGTATGCATACCGTCGTGATGTCACCACCAAACACCAAAAATGAGGAACCAGACACAAACAGACGAATTGCGTATCCAGAAGAAAAAACATAAAAAGAGGAATTAAAGAATTAACATTTCATCGTCGCATCTAGAGAGAAAGTAGCTAGCTATACACATGCAGCACCCCCTCATTACCCCCAAAACCTAAAGAAATCAATATACATCCGTTTCACCCAGCAAAACGCTCATTACCCCCCTCCGCCCCCCGCTCCGTCGTGTGTGTCTTTATGCTTCAGACCTTGTTACGTCTGCGCCATCTGTTGTTTCTGCCCAGCACCTTCTCCTCCCATCTCCATTTCCCTCCCGCCGTCGCTGGGAGGCATATACCCCATCCCTCCACCCATTTCCCGTCCGCCGCCGGGAGGCATATACCCCATCCCTCCGGATCCACCCATTTCCCTCCCTCCGCCGGGAGCCATATATCCCATTCCGCCCTGGCCACTCATCCGACTTTCCATCCCCGCGCTCATGCGACTCTCCCTCCCCCACTCATACGACTTTCCTGCCCGCCGGCATATCCCATTCCCCCCACCCCCGTATCCATCGCCCCTCCCCCACTCATCCCCAACCCCCTCTCAACATCCCCCGGCGGAACATACACCCTCTCCGGCGTCGTGACCACGCTCATACTCCGGTCAGGCACGGTCTCGTAGTTGTTGCTGTACATGTAGTAGGCCGAGTACTGCTGAGGCTCGGGGGTGGTTATGATCTTTCCGAAGGCGATGACGCCGCCGATCACGAGGCAGCACACGAGGATGAGGGGGATGAGGGCGGAGATGGAGATACCCATCTGTGGAGAGGTTGAGAGTTTAGTGGATGGGTGATGGGGGAGGGAAGGAGGAGATGGAGGGAGGTACTTTTTAGAATATAGTTGGTTAGGTAGGATGGGAAGGCTATTTGTTTATGGTGTATCGGTGTGGACTCGAGGTAGAGGTAGGCAATTGCGTATGTATGTAGCTTTATAATTTAACGATTGACGACGCAGTAGTACTCGAAACTGAAGCGAAAGTCTAAGTGAAAGTATGAAAAGCAGCGGAGGAGGGTGTGCATATATCAACCCATCACCCACCACAAAAAAAAAAAAAAGCTCTTCACCCACCCATCCAGCATGCCCACACGGTTCTATATATCGCCGGGCACCCGGATCATCCCACCCACCCAGCCAGCCCACCCTGCCAGCCCGCCCATTGGACGGCGCTGTGCAGTGTGGTGGGCAAGCTCGGATGGCACGCAACCGTTCCGTGAGGCTGTGTTTTGTAATCCATGGATGGCAGCGAGGGAGGTGGTGAAAGCTTGGCTTCGTAGTGTAGGGTGGCCATGGACAGGGATTGTACTCACTGCTGTGATTTATCCAGGAGGGAGAACAGAGATGGACGTGGGCAGTGCTGGATGGATGGATAGATGGAGAGGGATGTGTCTAACGGCTGTCAAGCGGTGATCAGGGGGCCGTATACATACCTGCTTTCGAGAATGTGAGGAGAATATTAGAACCAACCCTATCCCACCGCTGAGAGATTGCAGGTCGGGCTTATCGATAGCCAGAGCGTGGACACAGTCAGTCCTGTGTGCAGTATAGTATATTGACGTAGAGTAGCGATAGCGATACTCCTCCCCTCTGCCCGAGCGCTGAATACGAGAGATCTGCCCCGTACTCGATTTGCAGAATTGTTAATTGCGCGTCCCAATGCTTGGTATGGGCCCGATTTGGATTTGGGTGGGCAGGGGAGAGAGGATCCCTGCTTGTTACTATTGCTGGGTGTCATGTCTTCATATGCCACAACCGCTACCACCACCGCTGTACAGTAACGTCTCTCTCGATCAATCTCTAATCCTCCAATCTCCCATCTCCAGCCCTACCACGCTAACCGCATCCATCCCTCACCCCCAATTGCAAATGTCAATGATCCGACCCAAGAACCGCTGACGTAACCACCCCAGCCCCACCACGCCAACGTCCGGACGCCGACACACCGAATCAACGCGCGCACACAACACATGGGCCAGAGAGCCGGGTCCACTACTTGTCTAGAGTTGGTAGATCCAGGCACCGTGACAAGACTTTTCCCAAACACTGGCACTGCCGCCGGGGCGCAATCTACACCCGGTTCCGATGTCTTGTCAAGTAGGTATATACATACATGTATCTTGGCTGTGCAATTGCACGGCAGGACCAAAGGCGGCGAGTCTCGGCGCGCGCACAGAACACTGAGCAGGCGCGGCGCTCCCGACGCGAAGCGGCCTAGATGCCAGCCGTTGTTTCGCCGAGGCGGCGTAGAAGCCGACGCTAGCTAGTAGCTGGCTATGCAACAGGTGGAACACCGATGCGATGGCTTGGCCGGGGCCCGGCCTCCGAGGCGACAGCTGCAGTGATTGAGGTCCAAAGCGCTTACCGAATAGAAACAGTTGCATGTGGATATACATATATCCGCCCGCATACAGAAGTTGCACAGCGGGCCGGGTGCGGTGGGTGCTTGTACCTAGTAGTGGTGCTTGGCATGACCGCCGGAATTGAGGTTGTGGTGGATATCTGTACTCTCGGTGCTGTTCCGCGCGTGTAGACGGGGGTGTGCTTTCTTTCTCCTCGAGCCGCGGACGATCCAGGCGTGGGAACGATAAAAACATTTTTTTCGCTCGGTGCGTCAGTCATTATGCATCACTCGCCTCCCGAACACGACGAGTGAGTATCTATGATGTTCGCCTTGGCAGAACAACTGTCATCGGCGGCTAAGGGGACGTGTTTCCAGTCAAATTATGATCCTGGTGTAATAGTGTCGCTGCGGGCAAAGGAAATCGCTTACAATAGGCGGAGCTTTCATCGCGACCGTTAGGATATAGATGTGGTGTGGTGTGGTGGTGGTCCTGTTGGGCAAATACTATTAATAGTATGATTACCTAAACCTCGATCAGCTCGAGGCGGGCAGGAGGATCTGCCTCGAGCATGCATACCTCGTAGACTCCGTGCCTTGAGCTGCCTCGAGGCAGTGACCTCGAGGCGAGGCCTCGAGCGGCAATTCCTCGTGGACCACACTACGCAGCACCATCCGCTTTCACAGAATGGTAGGTAACACCGGCTGTTGATGTATATCTACAGATACCATAGATGGTTGAGGTACGTGAATTCGTAGATAGATTGAGGATTGAAATACATATATATATCTATATACCCAGGAGTCGTAATTGCTTTAAATCGTGTCTGGATTCAAGTCGGGAACGAAATGGTTGATCCCCGACGCCAAAAACAAATGGCGGAACAAGCGCAATGGGGGTGGAGGCCACACAGCGGCGCAGACGTAACCTATGTAATAACATCATAACAAGATCCGTCATATTTTATTCAGGGTACCGCGGGGGGGGGGGGGGGGGGGGGCGCCAGATAATCAATCCAGGCTCATCTCTGTTCGGGTAGCACCCCCTCTGACAGATACAGCTCGAGTTCTACTCTAACTCTTGTAGCCAAGGGCCCCCAAATCCTGAGAACCCTGCTATCGGTCTTATGCTTAAAAAGTCAGAGACGATGAAGACATGGACTGTCGCGCTTCGGCCATCCTCCACGGCCACCCTTACGAGAATCACGGTCTTATCCGTCTTAACCCCCACAAAACTTTATATGTTTTTCGGGTGGCAGGGAGGTATACTACTTACCCTTACCTGTGGTGGAGTGTCTGGAGTGGCATATGCGGGCAGGGCAGAGCCGGCGGGCTCCCCGGATCTATCTGGAACGTCACTATATATGACTGGTGCCTAAATGATGTAAGAGATTTTTGATGGAAGGGAACCGCTCCCATCAGCATCTTAAGCTATGCGTATCGTAGCAATTAATGAATTAAACAAAAAAAACAAAAAATATGCGTATCGTAAATCATGGGCCATCACTCGCAATCGAGGCGCCAAATCACGGCATCCTACCGGAGCTAAGAGGTTCTTTGACATAATATCTTCAGTCGGATCTGTTGAAGAGTAGGACGAGTACGAGTATTATTCAATTGATGTCGAGGTATACGGCTAATACATGCTATCTTATAGGAGCCCGGGCAGGACACTATTCCTCTTTGACAGCGGGACCTTTACTATTTGACACCTGTTTGACACCTCCTTACAAGCTAGCCTGTATATATAGCGGGGAACAGACCAACTAATAATCAGCACTTGCTCTACGCGAAAGCATGGTTTTCTCGGTGGGTGCCTTATCAAGCATGTTAACTCTAGTGATACACAAGATACAAGGCTCTCATGGAATGTAAATGTAGGTGGAGAGTTAACATTGTGGAATGCTGGGCCAGTTACTACTTCTAGGGGTGAGGCGAATGAGGGTAAACGAGGGAGCGAGCAAGCGAAGGAGAGGGGAAAGAAGGAAGGAAGTAAGATGCGTGCGTAAGCCGGAGGAGAGTGAGTAATGCCGAAGGAGGCTATCATCCATCTCTCCTTTTATGTAATCTGTGATATATTAGCTCTAGTATGCAACTCTAAGTTATTCTATGAGTAGCGTTAGTATGTACATGTAGTTCATGCAGATACAATGGTATCAAGGAAATCCGACCTTCATATATAAAAATATAGCTGTGGTTCTGCCAATGTTTGTTCTTTTATATCCATCAATTGCAATAGCTACACGCCTTTTGTTGCTAGTTCCCTTCCATCTCGGGAGTATTTCTTTGTTGAATGATATGCAATCAATATTATAAATACATGTATTAACGTATTGCGCTGTAACTAATAGGAGACGCTCCTGATGACGATGAGGAAGACTATATAGTTTAGAAATCCATTATGTGCTGAGCAAGCACACAAATCTTTGTGTTTAATTAGCTTTGAGCAAACCGACAATTCAAGTGCCGGAGACAGCAAATACTGGGTTTCTCAGTTAAAGAACTTGTTGGGGCTACCCGCAGTGTAGAATTATTGCTGCCAATTTTAAGTTTTTACTCATTGTGTCGTTTGTTACTAGTGGGATGCTTTTCTAATGTGCACTATGAAAAATGAAAGATATTTCCCCATCATGGAAGACAATGCTGCTATTCGCCAGGTGTACCGGACCGTGTTGACACAGGCGCCAAAAGAAGGGAAGCTGGTTGGGTGTACTAAAGAGAGTAGGAACAAAAATATGAAAGTGAAAAAAAGATCGAAATATATTGAGCAAGAAAACCTCATAATTTATAACTACCCCTCGAACTAGGCTAAAGTAAAGAGTTCAAAACTAAACTCATGCGCCTGTATGAATAAATGGTGTCCACAGCAGAGGTTCTTTCCATGAGCTGTCCCTTAACTTCTTGACTGCGTAGTGGAACGCAGCGCCGACCTTTCGATGCCCACAATCGCTCTCGGAAATGCTACTCTCGAATAGTTTACGATAAAACTCGGTAGTAACATTTAGGCAAGCATCATCGTCCGAAGGCCACATATTTGCAAGTACATGACTAAATCCGGCAAGTTGAAAGGCACTAGCTATATGAACTGACTCATCTGCAAGCTTCCTGGATGAAATTCTGGCGGTAGAACAGGCTGACAAATATGCAATTTGTGCCCGTTCCATGTTGATATCTGATATTGCCCCCGCTGTTAATATATCGATACCGTAGGTGCAATCCTTACCCCCACGGGGTAGCGAAAGGCTCTTGAAAGGGTTATTCTCATCAGAATATATTGGACATGCATAGGGAAATGCGCCTAATGAGACGAGTCTTTCATGTGTTTCATCGGCGCTTAGACCCTGGAGGCTCTCGGACTTAAACCCTGGTGGCAATAAATATGCAGTCTCCGGTTTGTCCAATACAAAATCTGATATTGCCTCAGCGCTTAATCTATCAACACCGGTGGTGCAATTCTCAACGTCCCGGAGCAACAAATGACTGTTGAAAGGGTCATTAATATTGGAGAATCCATGACATGCAAAGTGAACCGCACCGAATGAGGGAAGTTGTTTGAGTACCTCAGCGGAACTGGGACTATTGAGGATCTCGGTCTTAATCCATTCCGGTGACAGATTCACGATTGACTCAACCTCACTATTAACATGGTTCAGTCGCGATTGACCGCGCACTTTAGGCGTAGCAACAATGAGCAGACTCGAGTCACCATGTGGGAATGCCAAAGGTCTCTCCCGAGCGTAAGAGAGGGCTTTAAGTGTTGGGATGTAGGAGCTGATTGCGTAGGCTAGAGTATTTCTGGTTGATCCAGGGGAATGGTCCCCAGCGGCGTGAAACGGAGCTAAACCCATGATATCTGCACCAATCCACCATATCCGAGGAAGCACATCGCCTGAAGAAACGATGCCTTGCGTCTTCAGCTCCTCGATCACAGGCTCAACCGCTGTATCCCATAGCCAAATCAGAAACCTTTCCATCTTCGCGGATCTTAATTGGTACGAAGATTTTCCTCCGGGAATTATCTTGGTGTTGAGCTCTTTGATTCGACGGCACGCAACGGAGTGGGTGAGATTGGGAAGTGGTATAGACTTGATACACGATCTTGTGACAATTATCGCATCACTTCGAGTGCTCGTACACACTTCAATCACCACTGGGCCGTCTTTGGCAACTTCAATAAGCTCTTCATAAGAAGGCGGTAACTGGAACCGTTCGAATCCCGGATGCCCCCTAATTTCTTGCAATGTTTTTGAAAGCTCATCGACGTTAATCATTCTCTGTCGCTTTAGATTTTCTTCCGTGGCTCTCCGCTCTAAAGTACTGGGGCTAATCGGAAACCTAGATAATAGCTCTTCACGATTTTCGCTTGGGGAGTCGACACGGCTACGTAGGGTATTGAATTTGTCAAAAAGGTCAGGATTTATTTTCTGGAGCTCCTGAAGGTTCCCTGTAGTACTCCTGCAGTCGATTGTGAATCCTAGGATAATCCCTCGACTCTGTTCAAGGACTGCCAAGCAATGGGATGCTGGTTTTCCTGCGTTTAGGCCTACGGACACCGCTATTGATCCGAGAGTTTGGCCATCGATTTGCGCGCGGTGTCGGTGATTGCGTTGACAATATTGAGGCACTCTTGTGGGGAGAACTGCAATTCCTTCCGCACATATTGTGAATGCTTTCTCCCATCTCTTCTGACCTCCAATAAGCTCAGGGCAAGCAATAAGAACACTCATAGCAAGAAATGAACACATTATCCGGCTTTTTGGTGTCGCAAGCTTGGACCTCAAAACCATTTTGCAAAGTTTGTAAATCTCCTTTGCCTTTAGAACACCCAGTGGTTGATCCCGGCGCCAGACAATATGATACGCGAACCAGTCGGCGGCGATCTCCGCGGAGCTCTCCAAGCGCTCAGAATCATCATCTAGTGGGATGAGTACAAATCTCTCTTCTTCTATTTGAATTTTCTCTAGTAAAGTATCCGCCGCTTGCTCATGAGATTTGACGCGATCCCTAAGCAGTTTATGATAGCTAGATAGCAAATCAAACCTCTCGGGTGCTGCGTACGAAGCCCTTCTCAGCGACTCACGAGAGATGTGAAGTGCATGGTCTATACAACTTTGTGCATTTGGCGCCTCTTGGTGATAACGTCCGGGTCTGGTCTGATAGAGCATATTGGATTTGATGGCCACGATGTATTCTAGTCGACGCAACCGGTTGTGCGTACTCAAATCATGGTCACCAGGCTGAGGCATAGCGCGTAACGCCCTTCTTGATAAATCGACGGATCTCTCAAGGTCGGATACTTCCCCCAATCGCAGATATCGCAAGTGAATTGCGTCTGACAACTCGGCCAACATCCCTGATCGCGTCCTATCATCTGATATCCCCAACTTCACTGACTCTTCATATTGTAGTATACATTTCTCGAGGTCTGCGACATCACCTAGGACCTCAAACCTTGTAAGGAATGCCAGACCCAGATGTGCCAGATAGACTGACTGGTCTCCCCCTCCCTCTGGATCTTTAACCACCTCATACAGCAAATCAACTGCGGTATTTATATCCGAAAGTACTCTAGAACGCTTGAATCGCTTTATGAATGCCAACCCCAATTGGGAAAGGCCTTTTTTGTAATCATCTCGTGACAAAGTCCTAATAACGTCCTGAAGTAGACTAATGCCTTGGTCACTCATTTCGTGTGCGTCTAGCATCGCGCTTGCCCCCAGAACCAACACAGACTGTTCGGTTGTTGGTGATAATGATTTCAGTTCATTGCATAGCGTCATCATTTTAGTGACATCTTGCCAACCCAGCTGACCAAGTGTGTGACATCTACCGGAGATACTGCGCATCATGAGTGTAACGACAATACCACGACATGGGTGGCTCGATGGTACCAAATCAAGCGCAACTTTTAGAGCGTCAATGGACCGCTCAACATCGACTTCGTCATGACTCCATTCGAACCTCTCAATCAGATATGCCCCAAGTCGGACTAGATTCGACATCAACAGTGGAACTTGTTGATCCTCTTGTTCAATAATTTCTATGGCTTTTTGGAGATCTTCTGGTTGTGTCATGCTCATGTGCCTATGGTAAAGCACATCAGCTGTCCACTGCGCTCTCTGGGTCCACCGAATATCCTTTTTGTTTCCATGCAGGACTTGCTCTTTGAACTTCTCAAAGCTGCCAGTGGGCCGCGTAGTGGAAGGGTAACCGTATTGTTTCGTGTGATTCTGCATCGCCTTGTGCGTGAGATAGAATCGTGCTTCGTTGCGCTCAATAAGAGATAAATATAGGGTATCGATCAAGCTGTCGATATCCTGCATATAATAGAAGACTACAGGATATTCGCTATCCATCTTTCTGGAGAGGCGTGTTAGTCCCGCTTAAAGAAGTGTGCTTCATGAGAATATCTTCAAACCTGATCCGTTTAGGTGTGTGATCAACTTTAGAGTGGATAATTCCTTGTGTTTAGACTCGGTGGTACGTTGACGATTTTATAAACAGTCGTTGCCGCCATGGGCTCAAGAGAATACCAGAGTATCTTATATAATCAGTGGCGTGTTTTCTCTAAAAGATGTACCCCTCCTCCCCCCTTGTCAAAGCGCACATACATACCCTAGAAAGGCGGCCTATCGGTGTGTATAGGAATATACAGCACCTTTACTTGAGCGGCAGTAGAATTCATCACTGAGATAAGGGTCATTGACCTTGACCTCTGGGCGGGTAAGGCGGGTCATTCACAAGACATCTTTTGCAGGTAGGGTGACATTTATCCATTGATAGATTATATGGCCCCGAAAAACGTTTAATGGCATAATAGAGACTCTGCGCAAATAGAGCTGGCTCTCTATTATGGTTATCTGATTTGGGGAAGGTGAGATCGGCTGCACCGACCAGATCGCTCTAACACCACTTTCAGGCTTGTGCATGTGGGATGCGCGTTGTGCCTCTACAGACTCTGGTAGAATTATCGCGAAAGTGGGTTTTCCGTGACCCGATAGTCATATTGGCCCTTGAAGGAATTTCTGCAGTGCACAGACCAAGAAGCCCACTCTTTTAGTTCTGACTTTCGCAATAATTCTACCAGACTCTGTACTCGCGACCAGCAACAAGAACCCGAAAATGCACGTCCTAATCTGCAATTTCCATTGGAGTAGAAGTCAAAAATACACCAAGGACTTGCAGCTGCATATTCGGGTTCTTGTTGCTGGCCGCGAGTAGTTGCTGCCGCGCACTGGCCTCAATCGCCCCGCAGTAAGAATGGAGTATGAGTACATACCTTTATTTTTATTCTCTGTTTGCGGCCCTGTGTCATCGTGGTTAAACCCGTGTGACTATGAATTTTTAACTCAGACGACCAAAAAAAGGCGAGAGAATTCTTCTTGGGTGGCGAGAGCTAGAGGCGAAAACTACATTACTGCTCACTAGTCTTATTCTCAGAACGATCTTTTTTGCCGCACTTTGTTTAGATGTCCATGTGTAATTCTCCTCAGTTAATCATGTAGTGGACAGAGGCGAATTGCGGGCGTACAAAATACAGGAAATGCGGGGTTACGCTTGATTGCAAAGCGCAAAGCGAAGCACGGCCCACCCCTTCATAATGGCACAGACCATGATCATACAAGGTCTTGAGTCTGGTACCTACACTATTGGACATTTTGTTTAGTATTAGGAATTTGTTCTTCTTCCTATCACTCTAGTATCGCACCTTTTTTTAGTACTAAGCTTTCACTTTTCCCGTTACTTTCATTACGAGAGTATATATCATGCACGTGCATCCAGCTGGTTTAATATATAGCTGGGGAAGCCTATACCCGGGGTGTCCGCGACATTCAGTTTGGTAATTACTAATACAATTAATTACTGCTTTTAGGAATTAAAATAAGAAAGCCAATGCCAAGATATCTTTGATTGGCTCTATAATAGCTTTACTAATCCTAATCATGTAATAGTACACGCTTCTGGGAGAGAGAATTATCCAATTAGGCAATAAATTGAGGCGACATTGAGTGGGCTCCCCATTAAAAGTATACCAACTTTAATGACGCACTACACCTCAACCACAACACCTAAATTAATTATCTCTCTATAGAACTGTAGAGAACAAGCAGAAGAACTATTCCATAGGAAGAGAAATAATTTAGGGGTTGTGGTGGTCGAGGAGTTGGCGCTAGAACTAAGGTCAAAAAGTGCACCGGATATAAGGTTCCCCAGCTGTAAAATATTCACAATATCAGACCTTCATCTTTTTACTTTTTCATGGGGGCGAGCACGTCACACTCGCCGGAAATAGGGGCCGAGGGAAAATTATCAATACTCTACTCGTGTTTTCACAGCGTTTGTGAACACAACCGGCATTACATACACACAAAAAATAGCCAAGACAACCTTTTTGTATGGCATGCAATAGCGGTGGTGTTCACAAACGCTATGAATAGACGAGTAGAGTACTCGCCTATCTTCAGGTGGGCAGGGCCCTCTCACTCAGTGGCAGAGCCCCGTAGGTATAGTTCTCGTTCAATAATCATGGGACAACGCAACCGCGAGTTGCTACGGGGGCTTGTCCCAGGATTTTTGACATGGAGTTATACATACATTTTGAGAGCAAAATGCCCTTTTCAATTTCAGCCAACCAGAACCGAGGCCGACCAATTATTGCGAAACGAGCCATTAACATTAATAGACCTCGGGGCATACAGATAAAATATGACATTCTTTATCCAGTCTGGCGACTTGAGGCGGTGTGGTGGGTGTATGCCAGTAGGGCCGCTGGAATGATCCATCAATGTGAGACTTGTTTTTTAGTCTAGGCATGTCTATGATCATTTCTCACTGCATGCACCCCTCAAATAAAGCGTTCTTCTTCAAATCTTGACAGGCCTTGCAACTTTCATTAGTTCTCTCTTTCGCCGCACTTGTCGTAGCATCTTACCCTCCTCCTCTATCACCCAATATTGCAATGTCAGCACTCCCTCCGCCTCTCTCCAACATTGCTACCCCCGATACCGTTCCGATCGGTGCCCTATTCGTTAATCCCCAGGACCTCTACGAGGATCTTCATGACTCCTTCCCCACCCGTACGGACCTTCCAACATCTATCGTCATCAAGCCTTTTGGCATCTACAAGACCAGCTCGACGATGAATAAAACCTCGAAGCTACGTTCTACTCTAGTTGACTTACTAGCTCATACCCGTCACTCTACCGACACCTCTGCTAGTGAGCTCTCTGCCTCGGAGGGCGAGCGTCACACTATATTGAGCCATTCTACATGGTTCGAGGCCCAGTGCAGAAGCGAAGAGACAAGACAATGGATTCTCAAAAAGTGGCAACAGAGACACGATATCTACCTGATTGTCGGGCTCCTAATCTTGAACAATGCCAAATTGGTGGTTGAGAGTGGCGTAAGCGTGGATCGAGCGCGGCAGGCAAGGATGTCATTACCGGCTGGGTTCGCGATGGCCTGGACAGGAGCTGGCACAATTGGTGGTGCATCATTAGCAAAACGTACTAGTACCAGGATCGATTCTCAGTTTGAGGCGCCGGGGAAATCAGTTTTTGGAGTGTGGTATCGAAAGATTCGGGTTGGATGGCTACGGAGTAGAGACCTTGCAATTGATAGTAGTCGGTTAGCAGCCAGTACCACGTGGAAACCATTATGGGAATGGAGGGGTACAGAGAAGCGGGGTGAATATGATAGAGGGGATTCTGATTATGATGATGATGACGAAGAGGATGATGACGAAGAGGATTATGACGAAGATGATGATGACGAAGCGGATGATGATGATGATGATGATGATGATGGGGATGGTGATGGTGACGAACTTGACGGTTATGGTGGAAAGAAAGACCTCGTCCGTGTAGAACTTGAGACAGACAGCGGATGGGAAGATGAATGATTGGAAAGAGTTTTACATCTTTGGTAGAGTGCTTAATTCAGAGCCTTGGCTGTAAATCAATAATCGTTCTATTATACACACCCGTGTCTAATTAGTTTTCGGAGCCCCTTTAATCATGGGATAATAAAACTAAGAAGTACGGGGGATCGAAGCCATGATTGATTTTAAGGTATCTGCAGAGGGGTGATGAAGAGATAGCAAAATATCTAGGCGCCGAAAAGCTAGGGGGCGCAAAATCCGTCAATATTATGACCCATACAACGGACGTGCCTATGCAGTGAACGTTCCACTTATGGGTCGTGGTTTTGTGAATACATAACTCTGTATACCTCCTATGGGTAACCTGTTGGCTGGACGTTGTGTTGGTGGGCTGGGGGGAGTGTCGTTACGGTTGATCAACAACCATTTCATATGCTGGATCGGTAATGATTTTACACTGATCTAGAGAGGTTTCCGGTACTATCCCTTCATCTAGAAACACTGCATACCCAGAAGATAAGATTTAGCTTTGCATGAGAGACCTGTTGATTTTGTCAGACGAAGGAATAGAGATTATACATTATTGAACGTCTTCTGCCAAGAAAGCGGCACCAACATGAGGACCGAACTGACAGGATTAGAATGAAATCAAAATACTGTCGGAATATTTATTGTAGAGCTTATCTATCGGCGCTTCACAGCTCGTCACCACCATATATATAGTTCATTGATCATTTCTGTCGCATGATCATCACCAACACCCTCAAGTTGAAAAACGAAAGCAAGGATCGATATGATGGCAGAGCCCACTTGCAGTATCTTAGATCTCTTCTCACTTCCGCCCGAGATTTTCAACTCGATAATCTCATTACTCCCCCTCAGCGGCATTTACTCTCTATGCCTGACCAGTCGCAGCCTCTACAACCTCCTTATCTCCCTCCTAGACAGCTCCTTCCTGTCCCTTAAGCAAGAATTGTTAGACTGGTCCTGCATGCATAACAGCATCATCTGCCTGCGGCGCACCCATGCCGCCGGCGCCAGCTTCTGCTGCAGTATGAGACACCTCCACATGGCCCCAGCGCCGCCAACACCGCCATCGTCATGTTCCTCATCAGAGCGCTCCGCTTTCGTCCTATGGTCATCCAAGTTGGTGAATATCGTGGTCTTACTCCACTGGAGCTCGCAGCCAAGTACGACCACGTAGAAATTGCAGAGTACCTCATCGCCCACGGTGCCGAGAACTCAGTCAAGATTTGTAGATACTGCTTGACGAAGAGGCCACTACAGATAGCTCTCAACAACGGGAGTTTGAAGGCACTTGTGTCCACTAAACCACTATCGCTACTTCAGTTCCTGGAGAATGGACTACATAATGGGCTCGGAAACGAGACAACAAAGACCCTTTTGCAATCCGCGGTGAAGTTGGGACTAGTGGAACCTGTACGGCTGATGCTGGAGTACGGGGTGAACGTCGACGAGAAAGGCAAGTTCCGCGACACGACACCCCAAGAGAGCTGTAAACGGCATGCAATCACGGCTATGCTGCTGGAGGCGGGTGCAGATGTGAGCGTGAGAATGGCGTATGGACAAACCCCGCTACAGATGGTAATGTGTCGAGGGAACGTGGAGTTGGTGAGGATGCTGCTCGTGCGGGCGAGGCCGAAGATGCATATCATGTGCCGGACTCCAGTAAGGGCGAGGAAGGATCGAGGTAGGATGGCCGGGAGGGTGGAGTGCAAGAGAATCTTGGATGAGGCCGGAGTTATAACTGACGAGGAGGAATGTCGGAGGTCTTTACGAATTGCGCTGGGAAGGAGCGTGATCTAGACTATTCAGAAACTAAGTACTTAGGTACTTACACTAGATACTTAGGTACTTACACTAGATACTTAGAACCAACTAGACGATAAAATATATACATGGATATGTAGATACATCAAGGTGATTGCCAGCTAAGTCTCTAGTTATTTCCTATCAATTGTTGGATATCATTATATATATACTACATATGGATCTACTAAGTGTAATCACTGAGAGTATAGTACGTCTCGTGGATGGCTAAGGATAAAAGTGATCAGGACACGACGTGGAATATCAGTTTATTGCCGATGACTAATTATTGTCTTGAATATACCTGTAGCGATTTGAGAAAGGTGTCACGTATGTCACTCCTTCTCCGACACTGCATCCTTTACCGATAAATAATGTCTCGCTCCTAGCGAGGGAACCTGGAAAGGCATCGGGAAAGATATCTCATGAGAAGTGTCAAGAGCAGTGCAGTGCGTGTACGTGTAAAGATAGTAGGAAAGACATTCGGAAACGTGTCGGGGTCGAAATTCATAAAACGTTAACGGGCGTGGAAATAAATCATATTTTGGCTTCCAATTAACCTCATTTCCCAAAGCTGCTTTGGTGGGTTGATTCATTTCTAAAGCTGGTGGAAACTCTCACTCGGTCAGTCAATGATGATTGGTGGAGAAGAGGTACTTGTATGGACAGAAACCAGTTAACATTCATTCTTTTCCGCGTTAATAGTCCGTCTATGATCTGAAGGACCACAACACACTGCTACAGCTGCAAGGCTGCGCCACGCAACTAACAGATAAGAGAATTTAAAAAAAATCAGAACATAAACCTAACCCTAGCCAACCTACATGTATGTACTGGCAAATTGGAAGTTCCCGTAACTTCCCATTCCGGTTTCACATACTTTGGTAATTCACCCGAAGTCTCGAGGCTTTGCAAAATAGATGGCTTACTTACTGGTAATTCTGAGACCTCCCTCTCTGTAATTCACGAGTGAATGAACAGAGGACAGTCCAAACCTCTGGAAACCAGGATAACCCCGTACTATCACTCTAATGGAGGAGTATGAGAGTGAAATAAATATCCGCAAAATGTCTGGCGATTGTTTTCTTTGTCTAGATAATGAACTGTGTATATCAAAGATCCTACCATCCGCTATCTTCCTCAAGCTCCACATCGATCATATCCCCTTTCTCCTTCATGCGGCCGTCCCCCTCCTCCCCCTCCTCTTCTTCCTCCTCCCCCTCCTCTTCTACTTCTTCTTTATCCTCCTCCTCCTCCCCATCCTCTAAAGAAAGATCATCCATCTTCTCCGTCCCCCTCCACGTCCAGAACGGCCTCCACGCCGTCCCCGCCGCCAACCTACTCCCGTCCACCTCCCTCCTCCACACCCACCTCACCCTAACCTTCCGATCCCATATCCCAAAAACGCTCCACCCGGGCGCCACAAACACCCCATCCCCCCCCCCCTCGTCACGCTTCTCTCCCCCATCGCCCCCATCCCCAACCCCACCCCCGCCAACACCGCAAACCCCGCCGGGATTGCCACACTCCCTGCCTCACCCCCTGCGCCGTCACGCCACTGCGCACAACCAGCTTCGCGTCATTAAGGAGCAGGAGCCCGACAACGAGGTAGATCTCGTTGCTCTCGTCCAACTGCTCCTGGATCCAGCGGCGGGTGTCATCGCTGCGGCACTGTGCAGAGAACCACGTAGCGTGGTTCTTGAGGGTGCGCTTCTCGCTGTCGGGGGCGTCGAGCGTACTTTCGGAAGTGGTGGTGGCGGTGGTGTGGTAGATGCCAAAGGGCTTGCTGATGGGTGTTGGGAGGGCGGTGGTGGCGGTGCGGGTGGGGGAAGGTATTGTGGATTCGAGGGGTTGTGGGGGTTGGTGATGAGGATGCCGACGGGGATGGCGGTGGCGGGGGCGACGTCAGAGAGTGGGGGCGGCGTGGCGGGGCGGGGGCGGGCGGGCATTGCGTGCGGGGGTGGGTATTGTGGTGGAAGAGCTGGCTGCGGGAGCGGTGGAGATATGGTCCTAGTTGAAAACCTTGGCTGGGTGATCTTGATGGGACACACGCCGGGGAGTTATAGGTGAGGACTTTGATCCGGATTATGACCTTTTGAGCCCGAGGCTGCCATATTGATTCATAATCATGTCTATTATCCACAATCCACGTACTCTGCTTGAGTCGATAGAGGCTTAAAGTTTAGGCAACCGTGCTAAAGATTATCAATTCTCAAGGCGTGCAAGTAGGATGTGATAGCACTTAGATGAAACAAATTATGCATTCAGTTTTGTGGGGATTTTAAAAGGAACGGCTGATATCGCACACCGTATGCATTGGGGCAGACTAGGCGTGTTTCCGCACCAGGGTCCCGTGAGATACTCGAGACCGTGTTTAAAACAGGTCAAAATACTCGAGCTGTTGGAAACTGATGTTTATAACTGCATGATACTCCGATAATGTAAGCCAAAAAAAAACACGGAATGCCTCTTCAACTGTCAGGCTAGTATCTGCCTCTTCTAGTACTTTCTTCCTCACTCTTTACGGTCACTCGTTGGATTGTTTCTGCTTAAATAACCCTAACCTTGCACCAGTATGTTACTCCCTCTCAACCGGAGCTGAGTTTATAACCGGTTTATAACTAGGTTTCTTACTCCCAGTATCTTACTCGTGAATATTTCACGGGACCCTGTTCCGCACCACATGTACGGGGGTTAAGGGTAAGTACTGAGAACCCTGTTTTGGGTAATTTTTAAAAGTGAGGGCTCTGATTGGGCTGATATAAATATTTTTGACAGTTGGCAGCCAAGCAGGTATATATTTGGGTAGTGTGTCCCGCAGCTTTCGCAAAGCAACCTCCTCAACCTCTTTTCTACTCCTGTTCCTTTCGAACTTCACCAAAACTCTTTTTGATAACTTCGAATTAATACTCAGATGTAGCTGTGGGAGAGGGCTATTCAGTGGTTATTGTTTTGTATTTTTAGGAAAAATTTCGATTTTTAAGTGAGGGTAGATAAAACGTCTCGGTATTTTTTTCCTCCACAAAAATTTCAGGGCCAAGACTAAAATTCATTGGGGACTTTTGGTTGCCATGGGCGGTTTCCATACAAAATCAACCAATCCTTCAAGGCGTCTCGGTATTTAACGTGCGCGCCCGGTACTCTAAGATGCGGCAGTGGTCCAGTTCCAAACGTCAACCTTAAGCCTTTGAACGAGGCGTAAAAGCACAAGGCGTTTGATGGATGATCATTACTTAAGTATGTACGTGTAACCTTGCATATACATGCATGTATGTGTGCCTCCGATTTGTCGAATAGTCGAACGTTAGAGCAGTAAATTTCCCTGTTGCTAGGATGTGTCAACGACTTAAGTCCTAGCTGGACAACTATCAACAATTAAATCATATATATGTCGGTTTAAAGCATAACCTGGCCACATCATTGGTCCCAGACATACTCTACGCATTGCCTTACCCGCACCCCGCCCTCTCCACACTCTAGAGTACCTATTCTACATAGATCCATCAAACCTTCACACATGCACCACTACAGCAGTACCCCATCTGCCTTGGAGCATGTCCGGCCCTGCTCTATCAAGATACCTGAGACCAATAGAATATCCTTCGCTGAATCGAAGCGATATACTTGCTTACCAGTGAAAGAACCAGAAAATCCGGTCGCTCAGGGCAAGGATAGTTTGTATGTTTCGTCGTCCCTAAACTGCCTCTCACCAAACTCACGCATGTTGCCTATGACTCCAAGATGTGCAGAGCATCTTGCCAAATTCCGGTCTGGTGGGGTCAAGGGATATCTATGCTCAAGCCAGCCTATCTCAAGCTAGAGCTCCTTTATTATAACATTGTGCTTCCAGATAAACACCACAATCGACTCGTCTGAGTCTGCCTAGAGTATGATAACACTTGTGACAGGTCATAGCCTTCTATCTCGTATTTGGGAATAAAAACCTGGATTCACATCTCCGGCTAGCTCGGGGGCCCAGCCGCGCCGCCTGCTCTGGACTGTAGCTAGGCAATATCATGGTTTCTCTTGGACCCATATACGCTCTTGTTTTCGACAAAACAGGTGGAAGCAGGTAAGCGCCTTGTTCGAGGCAGAAACATGTGATAATTGGATGGGTTATTCTCAATCGCCAAGTCACCTCTGGGACTTCTCAAGTGCATGGTAAGGTCTAAGGTTGCTATAATACCTAGCGGTCGCCATCAAAAAAGAAAAGTAAAAAACAAGGCTTTACACGGGGTAAATTCAAAACAATAGGTCATTATAGGACACCACCGCTAAACTCGCAACGGCATCAGCAGATAGCCGAACAACCCATTAATTGCGAGATCCCAAGTCGAAAAGAATAATCAACAAGACATTTGTTCCACCCTCAGGTTTTGAAAGGTTCCATAAGGTTTGGAGTCGCCTCAATCCGTCAAACTGCAAGGTATTGATCATATCTGAGAATAGATACTAATGATAGCTTCTACTAGTTCAGCCGGGATGGAGAATGATCACCATGAGGCCACAGTAAAGCCATCTCCACCAAGCCAACCAGCCCATAGGCCCGCTAGAGGCTGGCTGGGCTGTCGAGACTTGAGTCCAGATGAACAGTTACTCTTCTTAACCATCATGGCCGACCCTTTCCAACCTGACATCATGCATACCGGAGAACAGAATTTTTTGAGGATTAGGAGTGCGCAAACCACCGCTGATGACTACTTCCGGAAGTTTCTTGTGAGCAACACATTGGCAGATATCGATTCGGCCATCGACCTAATCGAGAAAGAGGATCGCAGAGTACCATCATTGATATCCAATTTGATAAGGATTGGTGAGTACAGACGTAATAAATTTGAAGTCACTTCCGACTCAAGCGATATCGACCGCTCTATTGGAGCATTCCACGCTGCGCTGCGCGCAGTACCACCAGACCACCCGCAGCGAAGTCAACTTGTCATGTCGACGATAAAAAGCATTAGTCAGGCTGAGAAGCTCCTTGAGGGATCGGGGCAATATGAAACGACATTATCGGAGCTAATTAACGAACTTTTATTAGCTTAAATGCAATATTTCCTTTTCCCATAAAATGTTTAGATTCTCGATACTTTATAATTATAGGTAGAGGTTATTCAATGTTGTACCAGGGACCTCGCCTACCTAGGGTGTGCCGTTGAAGGACTCGAGCGGGTGAATGTGAATGATCCGTAATAGTATTTTATGCTACAGGAAAGACAAACGAAGTGATATGAAAACGAGAGTAGGAAGGGATATGGAAACCACAATAGCGCATATAGATATTCTGCGGTAAGGGACGCATTAATGTTCGGTCGGGAATTGGCGTCATGACTCATCACTCGACTTTCCATGAGGCGAGTGAGACACTGTGACTTGCCTAGTTTGTGTAGCAATAACCGACAGGCGCGCTTATGGAGTTTGTGTGGTCTTCTGAGTGTGCAAGCGCTGCGTTGTAAACAGCCATATTCTTGAATTCTAATATAGTATTTATATTGCACGCCGAGCTAGCTCATTGAGTCTATTCAGCACCTCTTGTCCCAGGCCCATTGTATGACGGATTTTTGATAGAATAACCGATAGTTCGTATTTCTATATATTGTATCGACGTGCAGGACTACACCCCAATTGATGGTCAGTTTGGGAAGGATTATGAGAACATACCTCTCGGTATATACGTATAACAACGCCACATTCTAGACCTGTAGAAATAGGGCATTGCGACATCGGTTATGTATGGAATTACTCATGTATAAGGGATGACTCATAGAAGGAACAGGGATTCAGACAAGGCTTAGTGTCAGGGATTATGTAATCAGGGGATCACGTGGTATTAGAATATCTGTATATATAGAGCGCTCAAACATCCACATTATCGCTGGAACTTCAGCGGCGCAATAGTATCTTCTTCGCACTACAAACACATCCTCCCTCAAGGTCACGTGTTCAAACCACATTCAAGTCATTTTCTCCCACATTTCAAACTTCAGGTTATGAGCCCGGGTTTTGCCAAATAAAATCCGCACAACACTCGCCACATTCGGTTAACTCAATTACACTTCATACAACATCATGTCTGACGCTGGTGAATCATCCAAGGCCGTGGAGGTTAAGTCCTCAGACAACACGAGTCCCAGTAACATTCGCATCAAGTTTGATGGACTCCCAAAATTAAAGGGACAATCCAACTACCAAACTTGGGCGTCTGCCTGGAGGATTACATTCGATGCAGCAGACTGGTGGGAAGCATTGAGCATCGAAAACCCCTCAGAAGATGACACAGACCTCACCAAGGCCGAAATCAAAAAGGCCCGAAAACAAATGCACAGCCTTCTCATCGGAGCTGTAGCCGAAGACATACAACCAACAGTCGTCTCCGCCGAAAATGCATACCACGCATGGAAGGCGCTCAAAGACCTCTACGATCGCGTATCACCAAACACGACGATCACCCTCCTCAGCCGTGTTCTAGACACGAAGATGCAAGACAACGGTAACTTAACCGAGCATCTCGAGACCTTCAACACGAACTGGAACACTCTCAAAACCAGGTGTCAGAGCGGCGACCACAAACTCGCTCAGGCCCTGCTACCCCTCACCAAATCCAACGAAGCAATGGCAGCATTCCTACTTGCCTCACTGCCGAAGTCGATGAGCAACGTCGTCGATAACATCCAGACTAAACAGGATGTTACATACGAAGATGTACGCCAATGGCTACAAAACCTACAAGAGGAAACCCCTCTCACTGGCAACAACAGGGTACTTCATACCAGGAGTACCCCAACACCAAACGGCAAGGAATGCACCTGGTGCAAGAAACGGAATAACCCGTACCAGGGCCACGAGTACAAGGAGTGTAGAAAGCTCAAAGAACAGAACAAGACAAGGGATTCAAACAGAAGGAGACCAGGCAGAGATAACTCAGCGTCTGTAGTTATCAACGAATCATCCACAACAGTATGCATGGTACGCACCGATACTTCACCCTCTCTGCCCCTTACCTGGATCCTTGATTCTGGAGCTACTTCTCACGTAACACCTTTCAAAGATCAACTCTTCAACATCCGTTCTCACACCAGCACAGTCCGAACAGCCGACGGCACCATCCACGCTGTCACCGGATTGGGAAGCGCTAGTTTCGAATGCTACCTTCCCAATGGAGATAGATCCACCGTTGTCCTCACCGACGTGCTGCTGGTCCCAACCATGGGAAATGTGGGATTGGTCTCAGAAACAATACTCGACGAAAAGGGGTTTAGAACAGAGTCAGGAGGAGGAAACAAATTGGTCACGAAAGAAAAGAAAGGAATAATTTGGGCGAAATTGGATAAGGGACTTTGGAATGTACAAGTAGTTAGCAATACAGTTCGCTTGACCACTTACTCTGAATGGCATCAAGCACTAGGCCACCCTGCGACACTAGAAAACTTGTACGAAGACATCCATAAGCTACCCCCCAAACCAGAAACATTCCATTGCAGTCAATGCGCACTATCAAAAAGTGTGCACAAGAAACCTGCACCAATTAGTACAAGATCCCAGCGAGCATTCGAACTAATCCACTCTGACCTATCTGGAAAATTCGGCACACAATCGCAAGGAAAAGCCCTGTACTATATGTCCTTCATTGACGACTATACCCGCTTCGCCTGGATATATCTGCTAAAACAGAAAGACGATGCGATACAAGCCATCAAAGACTACGTCACGAAAATCGAGAAACAGTACAATACAACAATACTGAGATTTAGAACGGACGGTGGTGGTGAATACGTCAGCAAAGACACAATGGATTACTTCAACCTACAAGGAATAGTCCACGAACAGACTCCCCCATACACTCCTGAATCAAATGGAGTTGCAGAACGATTCAACAGGACGATAACAACAATGGTCAGGTGCATGATCATGGACCATCCTAAATCGTTATGGGGTGAAGCATACTCAACAGCTGTCTACCTCAAAAATAGGCTACCCCACAGTACGCTAAAGGGAAAGACCCCCTTCGAAGCCCTGAAAGGTTCAAAGCCGAGTATCCAACACCTTCAACCATTCGGAAAGAAATGCTATGTCCACATCCCAGAAAACTCTAGGCCAGCAGGAAGCAAACTAGCACCCCGAGCACACGAAGGAATCATCGTCGGATACTCAGACAGTACCAAACATTACCGCACCTGGATAGGATCACAAAATAGGTTAGTTGTAAGTCGAGATGTCACATTCCCCCCTCCTGAATCAGGGGAAGTCTCCGTGGAACTCGACTACACCCCTATCCTGAAACCAGAAGCGGCACCTGCACCGACAGACGACGGATATGAATCAGAAGACAGGCCTGATCAAGAACCCGAATCGTCAGCACTCGAAGAAGACCTTGAAACAGACGCAAGTAGACTGGGGGCCGGGCTTACGAGGCCCACTCCTGGACGTCACCTCGAACTAAGTAATAAACAGGAAGCTAATCAGGAAAATACAGAAACACCTCCCCCGGAACCACCAAGGAAATCGAAACCTTGGAAACCAACAACCGAAAAGGAGAAAGAATCTGAAGTCCCGCATCCTGTCACAACAAGAAGATCGAATCGCATCCGTGAAAGAACGGAGAAACAAGCAGCACTTGATATCGAAGGGAAAAGGAAGGAAATCCGACTGAAAATATCGGAATTAGGAACCACCTATGACAAGGAGGTATCAGAGATACTAGCCGATGAAGATATGGACGAACAAACCAAGCAACTAGCAATGGAAGCAGTCAGTCTAGACCACAAAAAGGACAAAGCAAAGCTCCAAAGCCAGTACGACAACCTGGATTCCACCATACATCGGGTACACCTAGTAACTGAACCTACCACCTTCAATCAAGCAATGAAAAGCGATGATCAACACCTATGGAAGAAGGCAATACAGACAGAGAAAGACGCCCTCGACAAGGCCCACACCTGGGACATTGTCGACAGACCAACCAACCGAGCAGTAGTCAGAGGAAAATGGGTATTTAAGGTAAAACACAACGCGGACGGAACAATCGAAAGATACAAAGCTAGATACGTCGCCAAGGGCTTCACCCAAGTACAGTATCAAGACTATGATGAAACCTTCGCCCCCGTTGCCCGATACGATTCCCTAAGACTCCTATTTGCACTAGCCGCACACAACGGTTGGATACCACAACAAATGGACGTCAAGTCAGCCTTCCTATATGGTATACTTAAGGAGGAAATCTACATGGAACTACCTGAAGGCTACAGGCAGGACCACAAGGTTTGTAAACTTCGAAAATGCATATATGGACTAAAACAATCACCCCGTGAATGGTACGCTTGCCTAGCAGACTCCCTTCAACGGAAAGGATTTGTCCCAGCCAAATTCGACCCATGTGTCTTCATACATAAGAAACACCAACTATACATATCGGTGTATGTTGACGACATCATGATATTCGGACCCGACTCCCCATTCAGAAACGAAATCAGACAACTACTTAAGGCAGATTTCGAATGTACGGATCTCGGTAATGCGAAATTCCTACTGGGAATAGAAATAACGGTAACAAAGAACGGTATCACGTTGTCACAACTAGCATACATCAACAAAATCCTAGACAAATTTGGAATGAATAACTGCAAACCAGTTGGGACACCACTCGAACCAAATCTGAGTCTTCGTAAAGGAGAACCAGAAGATCAAATCGAGAAACCAACTGAGTATCAATCCATAATTGGATCACTCATGTACGCCAGCATAGCAACCAGACCTGATATCACCCATACCGTTACTGCCCTCTTTCAGTACTCCTCATGCCCAACTGAGGACCACCTACGAGCAGCCAAACGAACTCTCCGATACCTCAACGGAACCAAAGACTGGAACCTGTTCTACCCGAAAGGAAACACTAGAACACTCGATGGTTTCTCAGACAGTTCCTACGCTTCAGACTTAGATGACAGAAAATCGTTCTCAGGATACGTGTTCAGACTAGGAAAATCAGCCATAAGCTGGAGAAGCCGGAAGCAGAAATCAGTCGCAGTCTCAACAACAGAAGCCGAATATATGGCTCTGTCCCTAACAGCTCGACAACTGGTATGGATTCGCAACGCCTTATGCGAACTCCAACAACAATACCAATACAACATCCACGCCGACAACACAGGGTCCATCGAACTCTGTCGGAACCCACGTATCCACGACCGGTCCAAACACATCGACGTTCACTATCACTACACACGTGAACAACTCGAAGCCGAAACCTTCAAACTCCTCTATGTCCCAACCGAAGACAATGTTGCAGACATAATGACCAAAGGACTACCGAAACCAGCTCACCAAAAATTGTCAGAATTGATACGATGTGGCAAGTGAGGGGAAGTGTAGAAATAGGGCATTGCGACATCGGTTATGTATGGAATTACTCATGTATAAGGGATGACTCATAGAAGGAACAGGGATTCAGACAAGGCTTAGTGTCAGGGATTATGTAATCAGGGGATCACGTGGTATTAGAATATCTGTATATATAGAGCGCTCAAACACCCACATTATCGCTGGAACTTCAGCGGCGCAATAGTATCTTCTTCGCACTACAAACACATCCTCCCTCAAGGTCACGTGTTCAAACCACATTCAAGTCATTTTCTCCCACATTTCAAACTTCAAGACCTGGTACTGCAAATAATCCTCGGTATCTATTTCGATTTCCATTGTGGGATTAAAGCTGGCGCTAATGTCCATTTAGCTCTAGGACTGGGCTCGATCTCTAAAATGCGACGCTCAAGAAGAATCTCTCTGAACTCATGATTCCGGGTCGGAAACTGGCATTATTTTATTAATCTATGGTTCAGTAGAATGGCTGGCGCTAATCCATATCCTCACGTACTCTTCCGCTGGAGCTTCGTACTATATGTGACATTTTCTGCCGTAGAAATATGCCACTTTATATCAGTTATTATTCTGCAATAAAACGTACAGAAAGGTGTTATTCCAGGTGTTGTTCGTTCATTATATTACAGAATACTGACAAGCGTGTTATAAATTCGGTGCCACTAGGCCGAACATATCCCCTCCAAGAAAGCCACCACTACACAAAGAACCATACACAGCAAACCACACACAACACACCCCAACCATGCAAGAACTCTATCTCCAAGGCACAGCATTCAACATCCTAAAAGCATGCATGACCCAGAGCCCCCACCCCTTCGACGAAGCCGTCTTCAAAAACCTCCAAAGCGCCCTCACCCCTCCGGCGAGCTCAGCGCACTCCACGACAAATACATACCCGGCCTCAACCCCCCCGAAGACACCCAACACGACGAACCGAAACTCCGAGAAGCCGACGCTTTATGGGCCACCATCGCCCGCGCCTCCAAGGCCATTTTCGAAGGGATGACGGAGCGGAAAAGGGTGAAACTTGGGCTCAATGACGTTTTCAAGATCTGGGCGAGACTCGAGGAAGAAACCGGGATGCTCCGCTTTTCGCAGAGGCTGCACAGGTTGAACCATCACCTGCTGGCCTGTGAGCAGATCCTCGGCCTGTATGGGGGTATACCGTTGAGCGCGGAAAGGCAGTCAACACAAGATATGCAGATATTAGAGCAGGTTGTATTCCCCGCAAGTGAGCAGCTCGTCAGGCTACATGGACATCTCTTGGACGCAGCAGGCCCAAGGAGCGGCAGTCCAGTACAGCAACAAACAAACGAAGGCGTACTATCACAGATCCGGAGCACGACAAGCAACGACTACAGGGGCTACCACCGTTTCGAGGATATCATGCTCCGTCTGGTAACCGTAGGTCCAAAACTAACCGCGCCTCTATGTGTTTCGGAAAAGATCATCGTGGCCCAACATGAACTACAAGATTTCTCCCGCCTGGTGCTCGATTATCCACGACTAGCCGGCGCCCATGCGTCCTACCAAAATCACTTCATCGAAGTTCACCTCCTCCCCTTAGAAAGACGCTCATAGACAGAGTGGATCATATTTCTAAGATCACGGCGTGGGAAGATGGAAGGAGGGAGCCAGCGGCGCAGGAACTTATCCTCATGTCGCGCGATATGGTCCAACGCTTACAGATTAAATAGACGATAGACGTTTTTTTTTTTTTTGTTTGTTTAATTCATTAATTGCATGCAACCTTACAGTTATGGCAATAACCCCTGAACTGCCCGCTCTCTTCCACCTCCTCACGTATATCTGACATAGGAAATATAAAACACTGGCAAATCATCTTTTGTCCTATTCTTCGTCTCCATTGTCTTTCAGCGTTCCCCATCCGTACCCTAGTTCTCTCCCCTCTTCTTCCGCGCTTCCGTCTTGTCCGCCTCTCTCATGTCTCCATCTCGCGAACTGTTTCCATATTTTCGCCGCGACGATAGACGTTTATTACTTAGCTTTGTACAAAGACTTTTTTGCCTCTAGAAAGCTTTTCCCGCTAGGGGGGAGCTTGAGTTTGCGTTTAAATACGAATTCACTCCTAAGCTCTATACATGTATTCGTGTTTTGTGTTTGCTCTGTATATCACGAGTCTAAATCCGATCAGAGCATGTAATTATATAGAAATAGATTGAGTGTATCATATTATATACATAATAAATACAACGAGCACTTTATGATATTTCTATACTTCTGTTTTGACCCTGCAGCTTGGCTAACGATCCTGCAGGATAGAATCTTGTGGACAGGATAAGGCTGTAAAAACTACAACGTCTAACAGATGGGTCATGATCTTCAATTCTCTTATTAATAATTTCAGCGGTAGGCACTGGGTACGTTATAAGCTGGTACGATCGAAAATTAATGAATTAAACCAAAAATAGGATCGAAATCGCCTGGTATAGAATACCGAGTGAGAATCCATGACGCGGATCCTGTTCCGGCCAATTACAGCCCAAGTTGCCCTCGGCCCGTTAGAAGTGATCTCATAATACACAGCGATAGATTACGAGGCGAAGTAGAAATGTAGAAATGGCGAGCTGCACGTAGATTCGTAAAATATTCTTAATACTGGTTCTTCGTATGAACCCTAACCCTGCAATATCAAGAATGTCCTTGGAATGAGGAGATACATGTAGGCACCAGAGCTATTCACTTCCGTGACTATGCTCAATGTAGTAGAGGGATACTACTATCGACACTGCTGAAAGGGCGGCCACCATCCAAAGACCCAAGTCCCAGGCTGCGCTGTTCCACATAATATTGCACCACCGGCTATCGTGATTTAAAACGGAGAGTAACATGATGATGATAATCCTACATATACAGAACATACAAAAAGAGAATCTACCTAAGGGCAAAAGAAAAGAAAAGAAAGAAAAAAAAAGGCCCAAGAAGTTCGTCAACCCAAAAACCAGCACCCACGACCAAACACCCCACCACAAAAACAAACCATTCTCCGCCCAAAACAGAACCAAAAAAAAAAAAAAACACCTGCACCAAGACCGTACTTCTTAAGCCCCCGTATGTATAAACGGCGCCCACATCAACACCTTCTGCGGCTTCCGCTTCCTCAGCTCCACCACCGCTCTATGCATCGCAACCCCCGAGTCCACCCCCTCCACAAACAGCCCAGAATAGAACCGTCCCGCAACATCCACACACGCCTCATCATTGCTCTCCCACAGTGTGCCCAGCACGTTCCTGAAGCCCGCGAGAATAAACGCCGCCGCCAGATGGATGTTCTCGTCGGCCAGCTGCACCGCCGAGTTCTCAGCCGTGCTGCAGGCACTAAGATACGCAACCTGGGCGTTGGTCGTGTTGGCGTCGGAGATAGTCTGCACAGTCAGTTTGTCCTGCGTGCCGTCCTTCGCGCGGAGAAGCAGCGCGCTGGCGGAGGGGTTGGAAGGGCTGCTGATGCCATGGCAGGCAAAGTGGATAACGGAGTGGGACGCGAGCTGGTCCAGGACCTCATTGGCGGTGGGGTGCGTGAGCCTTGTGGTAGAGTCTGCACCCGCAATTTCGGTGATGCAGGAGGCCTCCTGCTCGACGCCATATAGGTCGCTCTCGTCGGGTGTTGTCGGCATCGTGACGAGGAGGACGTTTGGTGAGCCATGGGGAAGAGTCGGGGGCCGCATGCCGCGGGCATAGGTGAGTGCCTTGATGGTCGGGGTGTATGAGGAGATGACCCTGCTGATTGTGTTCTGTGTTGAGCCCGCGGTGTGTGTGCCGGCGGCGTGGAAAGCGGAGAAACTGAGAGGCCCGCTGCCCACCCACCACACGTGCGGCATGACGGTCTCGGTGCCATCAATCCCCAACGCCGCCAGCACGGGCTCCACGGCGACATCCCAGAGCCACTTCAGAGCATTGTTCATCTTCTTGTTCCTCTGCGCATAGGTGTTCACTGTCCCGCGCACAACGTCCTCGCCCAAGCCCACCGTCTTCTCAACTGCCTCCTTGATCTCCCACTTTGGGAGATTGACACTCTTGATCTCGTCCGTCGTGACAATGATGGCGTCGCACCGGCGGATCCCACTTGCATACACCACTATCGGCCCCTTCTCCGCCATCTTCCTCATCTCCGCCCCTGTTGGCAGTAGCAAGAAGTTGTCAAACCCTTCCAGGCTGCGGATCTTTGCCAGTGCCTCGTCGAGCTGCTCCGCTGCACGCTTCCGCCTCGCCGACACACTCCCTGCCCCAAGCTCCTCGAGCTCGAGCCCATCTGCCAGGTTTGTCCTCTTTGCCGAGAGTCCTGCCGTGCTGTCGAGCTCGCGTCTCAATGAATTGAACTCTGCGTACAGTTCCGGGTGTGCAGCCTGCAGATCAGTCGTTTCGCTGCGGCAGTTGATGATAAACGCCATCATGATGCCGCGGCCCATCTCCAGCACTCTCAGCGCTCTCTCCGCGCCATAACCAGCCGTAAGCACCGCGTTTGCAGCACGCGTCGGGATTCCAAAGAGTAGCTTGAGCTGCGCCTGTTGATCCTCCCGCGCCAGTGACGGCGGTGAGACCCGCGGCATGAGCTCCACACACTTCTCGAATATGTCTGCAGCCTCGCTCCACTTGCCCGACTTTTCGAGGACATCGCAGAGGCGCCTTCCTGCGCGGATCCGTGCGAGCGGTGGCGCGAGGGTCATCTCCCACAGGTCGCGGAAGGTGACAAATGAGTACTCGCCATCAGGGCCCTTGTTATTCAGGGCCTGGTAGCGGATAAGGTAGCAGCGGGCGAGGTCATCGAGGATGTCGGCGCGCACAGGCAGCTCATCGTCAATCTCCGTTGCTGCGGCCTCCAGCCAGCCGATTGCTTTGCTGATGTCGGAAATCTCACGGCTGCGGCGGTAGAGGCTGCGCAGGAGTTTGCCCATGCGGTGCCTGATCTCTGGCGGCGTTATGCGCCCGCCGCGGTACAGAATCAACGCATTTTGGGTCATGATCAATGCCCGGTCGAGGTCGTTCCAGAAGATCCCGTATGTGGTGTGGCGGAGATGGAGGGCATCGGCGACGACGAGGAGGCGGCGAGAGTGGTCAGGATCCTCTTTGGGGGTCTTATCGAGGCAGAGATTCCCCAGCGTGATGGCATTGAGGAGATCCTCCTCCACGCCCTCGGCCTTGAAGCGCTCAACAAACCGCTGGCAGAGCTCAATCAACCGCTCCGCCCGCTCTTGATGATTGACGGGCGTGCAGTCGAGCGCCTCCCTCGCCGTCTTGACCGCCATGGCCATATCGTCCTTGCCCCCGATGCGCCTAAACCGGGTGCTCAGCGACTCGCTCAACTCGCTGAGAAACCTACCCTTCATTGCCGTCGACTCCTTGCAGTGCGCCGCCGCTACATATCCAGTCTCGACCGCGCGATGCAGGTCCAGCACGTTTCCCAGACGCTCGTATCGCTCACGGTATGTGGCCGCGAGGTTCCCGAATATAGGTGCACGGTCCGGATGCCCGGCCTCGGCCGCCGCCACCGCCTTCTCGCCCGCTTCGACCGCCGCGTTGAGTCCCTCCGCACCGCTGTAGAGCTTCTGGACATACCGGGCCAGCACTGCCCTTGTCCCCGCCTCGATCCTATGCCCTTGTGGAATACCGTTCAGAGCAACTCGGGCGAGGCGAACGGCGCGTTCGAGATCTTCAGGACGGCCCCGATTATCCAGCATCGCCGCGAGGTTCAGAAGCCGCTCTGCAAAATGTGGTGAACGGTCTGAGGTTTCCTTCAACGATCTCTCCGCGTATTCTATGCACTCAGTAATGTCCTTGGACTCACGAAATGTTTGCCACCGTAGGAGCAGCTGCGCACTCAGATTCCCCATTATGCCCGGCCTGTTGGCACTGCTCCCTTCCTCTGCCGACGCCTCCAGTGCCTGCCTCATCCTGGAGATTCCCGTATCAATGTCCCCCTTTGTTCCGTGCAGCCTGAATCTACCCGTATAGCAATTCGCCAGGTTCAGTAGCCGCCCGGCATACTCTTGCTCCCCCTTCTCCATCCCTTCAAACGCCTGCTGTGCAAGAAGCAATGCCCGTTCCAAGTCAACTACGCCCCCGGATTCATGCTTATGTCTTAGATACAGCGACTGGCTCATATTGGTCCTCGCCGTGCGCTGATCCTCCCCCTCTGTCGCCTCCACGGCCAGCTCCCACAGCTCGATCGATCTATCTAAATCGGCCCTTTCCCCTAGCCTTTCATACCGTGTGTGTAGTACATGCGCGAACAAGCCCACACGGTTTGCATACTCCTTATCCTCGCGCTCTGTCGCCGCCATCGCAATCTCCGCAGGCTCCACCGCATTATTCAAATCCTTGATATCCCTGAGACGATAATACCGCGTCAGCAGGCTCCGGGACAACTTGCATAGTGTCTCTATATCGCCGCCGCCCTCCTCAACCTGAGCCTGCAGATCAGAGATATCATCACCCTTTCTGACGCTGAGAAGGCTCTCTAGGTTTTTTCTCATGTTGGCCGCCTGAGGGTGCGACGCTGGCAGCGCCTCAACCCCGCTCTGCAGCGCAGCGATAACAGCCACCGTATCATTCTTGTCGCGCAAAAACATGGTGTCCACCCGGGCGCCCAGCGCCTCCGCGCGCAGGTTGATGTTGTCCTCGCTGAGGGCTGCCGCAAGCTCGAATCGCTCGATTGCCTTGTCGAGGTCACCATGATCGCGGAGGCGCTCGCCCAGATCAAAGTGAAGCTGTGCGATGTTTAAACCGGGCACTCTGCGGTTCGAGCGTTCCATGACGGATATAAGTTCCCCGGCGACCGCGATGCACCGGTCGAGGTCGTCGGTGCCGTGGAGGGCGTCGTAGCGGTAGCCGTGAAGGCGGGAGAGGAAACGGAAGACGAGGGGACGTAAGGGGCCGTCATACCCGGCTTCTACTGTCCGTGATAGCATCTTGATAGCAGCAGAAAGATTGCTGACATCGTTCGTATGGATATAACGGAGGTTAAAGATCTCACAGAGGTTCATAACTGCGATGGCGCGCATGCGCCGCGGGGGGGCGAGTAAGGAGACGGCGATTTGCGCGTGGTGGAGGGCCGAGTTGAGGGTGGGAGTGTGTCCAGTGGTGCGAAACTCCTGTTGGTAGGCATTCGAGAGGATGTGGTGGGCCACGGGGCGCTGTGGAGATTCGGTAGGCACGGATTCCAGCACTCCGAGGGCGATAGCGGGGGTAAGTGACATGGATTCGAAGGTGTAAACGCCGCCAGTCATGTCCTCCTCGTCGAGGGCGTGAGCTTCTTCTTCAGAGATGGGCGCCGGCCAGAGGTCGGGGCCAGGACCGAGCTCATGTGTGGGTATCTCTTCCTCCTCCTCTTCCCCCTGGACCAATGATTTTGCAGCAGTTTTGCTAGAGCCCGAAGACTCACCGGCGTTCGCATCCCTCGCCCTTTTCCGTGACTCTTCCACGCCTCTACTTAGGTCCATTTCCACCACCTCATCTTCTGCATCTGCATCTGCACCTGCATCTACGTCCATATCCATATCCAAACCTACCGCGCCCGCGTCCCCGCTGTCTGTGGCCACTTCTTTACCCTTTCCTTTCCATTTACCTGTGCCTTCTATTTCTTCTGGTAACTTTGAAATCTCAGCACCAAAGTCAAGATTACCAAGCTCAGCGATAGCTTTGTCGGCAGCTGCCTGTGCAGCTTCGGGGGTCATTGTTTCTTCTTGCTATGGTAAGAGTGGGTGTATTAGTAGGATTCAATTTATTATACGAATACCTTTGGAAATTCCAAGGGCATTATAGCGGCCTCGAGTCTGACCTAGAGCGAGCTCCATTATCCAGCCCCGCAATCGGTGGCTGAGCAGGGTGCTGGGAAATGGAGCTGGCATTACACACGATTCAAGGGAAAAAAAAGGGGGCCATCAAGACTAGATCCATATTGCAACATACCACTTTCAACTCAAACTTCTTCTTCTTCCACTTCTGCACCCTCTTTTCTTCCTCCTCCTCCTCCTCCTCCCCAACCACCTCCCCCTCCCCCCTCTCCGCCGAAGCGCCAAACTCGTCGGCATCCTATACGCAATCGTCGCGTTCTGCAGCTCAGGAAGGTCCTGCAGGGCCGTTGCCTGCCTGATATTCGCGCTCTCCATCATTAGCGAAAGCAACACCTCCGCCCTTCCCCGCTCAGCCATGTCCTTGGTGCGCATCATTTTGGCCAACTCGTTGTCGGGCGCCTCGAGATGCTCCATCGGCGGTATGTAGCGCGAGGGGTCATCGTCCGTGTGCGGCGGGAGGCGCCGGGCTGTGAGGGTGCCGCGCACCACTTCCCCGGAGATGCTGGAGGAGGAGGAGGAGGAGGAGGAGCGAGACATTGGTGGTGCTGAGGAAGAGGTGGTGGGTGTGGAGGGAGAGACGCCCGGTCGTTCGCCCGTGGGTGAGTCGTCGGGGGTTACCATGGTTGGTGTCAGTGATTGATTGACTGGTGATTTTGGTTTATAGGTATTCCGAGTAGAGGTTTGTTCAGTCGGTCCGTTGAATAAGTATTAAGTAGCCTTTTTATGCCGATAGCCAGATGTATTCGCAAACTCTGAAAACAGGAATCAGATACAAGCAAAGCAAGAAAGGCCAAAAGAGAAGAAGCATGGGAAACTGGCTCCTTTTACATCAATGCCTCTCCGCAACCGCACTGCCTCTCATTTCCTAACCTATAAATATACATGTAGATATGTAGATATTGTAAACCGTAGTAGTTGTGAGGCTCTGGCTATATATTGTGGCTGTGCAGCGCTTCCCATCACCGCCCTGTCACCTCACGGACTAGGATAATGGGGTATGTAGAGTACATACATACATATGTAGGGGGCAGGAGGTGGACTGAACACTATCGATTGGCCAGATATAAATGACAGAGTCGTGCAGCGATATATATTCCAAACCCCGGAAAATGTCGGTCGGAAACGGCAGCCATCCAACGATTTCAACCACGATATGTACCTGTTAATTCCCTCTCCATTCTCGTTCCCTCTGCGTGTCCTTTTGCGATGATATTCTTCCTGTGTCCATGCCTTTGTAGGGCTTTCCAAATAGCAGATTAGTAGGCCACCGAACTGGCCAGGTGTCGTGAGCTAGAACTCATGTTCATGCTCGCCGGGCCGCTATCGATAGCCGCCGGGGTGGTAACGATCGACACATGCACATATATCAGCGCTAGCCCACGCTGATCTGCTAGCTGGTCAGCGCTGCAGAGTAGAGTACTCGCGTGTAGGGGAAAGAACCAGAAAATGCAAATGCGTATTTTATATGGTAGATCAGCGCCACTCTATATAAATAATCCCTGTTTCGTCACTTGGTTCTTTATGCTCTAGGGAGGGTTCAGCCCAGTCCAGAGTACCGCAGAAACTCGCCAACTTGATTATCTCCGTGCAGGGATTTCTTCATTGATGATTGGCTGAAAGGCAGAGATCAGCTTCAGATATTTCCTCTACAAGTTAGTTTTTGGTCAGATCCGCTAGCAAAGTTCGTGAGTTTTTGCGGTACTCCACAACTCTCGGTATGTCATACGATTGGTCCGTCCGCCGAAGCGAAGTGACAGCGGGCACGCGGGGAAGTGCAACGCCGTCCGTTGTGCGAAGTGCGTAGCTAGCTACTCTAATTCCGTGCCAGCGCTATATAGAGAAGGTCGGGCTGATCACTAGAGTAGACTGCTCCTCCGAACACCTCCGACGGCCAATTAGAAACAGCGCGTTGAAAACGTTTATACTGTTCTTGCTTCATAGGCTTGAGATCTGAGCATGAGGCTGAACTAATACATACTTAATGTCGATCATCAACACAGTCAGCACACTGGTTCCGAAACCAAACTACTGCGAGTGTTATACTTATCTCGTAAGGTAGCAGATCTAGAACATACATCTGATCTGGATCGCTCCACGAAGCGCGAGACAACTACTGTCTTCCAGAACATATGCATGAGTGCACAAAGTTCGTCCCGTCCCGCCGCCTTATCGTCCCACAGGTAAAGGAGCTAGATAGATACATGTAGATGGCTACCTACCTGTTATTCAGCCCCCACGGCACACACACACACACAGTGACCTCCGAAGAGCAAGAGGAAGAGTAATATCATAAAAACAATTCCAAATACCTATCGTGAGTTATTTCTCCCCATATCCATACCCATACATGCCCGGTCCAATAGCGAAATTCCAATCTATCTTCCGCCCGGCGAGGATCCAGGGTCAGGTATATACACCCGCAGGAAAAAAGTGAGGAAACAGCGAGTAGCGTGACAACAGGTGCCTCCAACTTGACATCCCCACACCCGCAATACAACCCACGAGTATTCCGTGGCCATGCCTTTTGACAAGCCTGGAAAGTGGATAGAGTCTACTCCGAATGAAGACATAAAAGTTATTGAAGCCCAAGCTAGGGAAGAGTAGGAAAGGCCGGATTGGGAGAAATGTATATAAAAATCATTGACACCATGCCAAAGAGAATTGCAGCAGTAGTAAAGGACTAGGGGGATCATAGGGGGTGGTGAATATAGTTTAGAGGCCATAGTATCTATTCTGTATTTTATTGTTTAGTTATATTACTTCTTTTCATTTTTATCCCCAATTTTGCATTGGGGTTCGGACGGGTTGCACCCGCTGTTTCCTCACTTTCTTCCCGCGGGTGCACACACATGTAGGTATTTGCGGGACAAAGCCGCCGCCACCCCATCTGCCCTACTAACCAGCCGTTAGTCACCCATCACCATGCCATTTCGGCCCTATTAGTAACCACCCCAATATCGCAGCTTCATGCAGGGATGCACTAGTCGATGGACCTCCGGTGAGCGTGGGGCGGTGTGGTAGATCGATGATCCAGGAACTACATAGATAGTGCATGAAGAGAATACCATATCGGCGGAGATGGAAAACGTGTGGTTTGCCATTGAATGCGGGGAGTAAGCAGGTGGTACAAGCTAGCAATCTCTGGTTGCGTTGCAGCCTAGGTCAGCTTGAATACATGTACCTAACACGGTGTTCCAGAGTATGTACCACTTGAAGGAGATAGATTGTAGTTATATTTGGTTAGTAATTTATTACGGTAAGGGTTAGAGGCAGAGGCAGATGTAGAGAGTACCATGGCCAGCTGAAAGGTCGTCTACCTAGAGCATTAATGTATAACCGAGTACATACTTTTACAGCCTGTGAACAGTTCTGCAGAGACTCGTTTCCGTCTGTGGCAGAGTTAGATATTGTAGATATGAATAGCAGCAACAGAATCACGTCTTGCGAGTACGGGTTTAGGTACATCATTCTAGTCTCTTTTCCCTCTGATCCATCATAGCAAGAGTATGTAGCGGATAAACACTCCAGCCACGACCAGCGGCACAGCCCCACCCGAGCCACCACCCATGTTATTTCTGGAGCGACAGCCAAGCTACTCGTATCTACAGCTATCGATAGAATTATTGCGAAAACAGGGACCGACGATCACGCCGAGAGCAGGGCGATTTTCCAACGCAATAATTCTACCGATAGCTGTATTTCTCACCCAAAATCATGGTATTTTTGTATGGCATGCAATATCAGTCGCGTCAGAGAAATACGAGTAGTGGCCAGAAGGTGATATGACATATGCGTGCATGCACCAGGTATGGGTACCGATGATGAATCCTCCCACGTCGTATATATGCCGCACCCGCACCTAAAGCGGCCCACCATTCCTCATAAACCAAAACTCACAAGCTCCGCCCTAAAGCTCTAAAAACCCATAATATCTACAACCCCCACAAAGAACTCACATCAAAAAAAAACACCAAATCTCTCAAACCCCCCATAATGTCCGCATCCACAACCTCCGTCTTCCAAGCCTCCCTCCTCCCCCTCAGTGCTGTCCAACTCGGCCGCCTAATCGTCAACATCAAAGCCCCGCACGAAGAATACGTCGATCCCCCCACCCCCAGCCCCCCAGAAATCACCAAAAACCCGCAACACAACTTCACCGAGCTCCGCACCTCCTCCAACGCCTTCAAGCTGCGCGGGCGGCTCACACAGCTCCTCAGCGCCTCCTACGAGCACGAGTCGAAGCACCAGATCGACCTCTCCGCAAAGATCGCATACACCTACGCACTGTGCAACAGCCGCACATGGTTCGAGGCCGCGTGCGCGCACCACTCTATCCGGCAGTGGCTGCAGGGCGCGATTGAGGACGGCGACAGCGTGTATTTGGTGACGGGGTACCACACGGTTGTTGATGCGCGGTTCGGCACGGGGGTGAGCAGCACGAGCATGGATCGCCAGCAGGTTAGTATGCCGATCGATGCGACGGGGTTGCCGGGTGTGCAGGGGATGGATATGACGGCGGGGTTGGACACGACTCATAAGTTGTGTCGCGGGTTTGCGAGGACCTTTGAGGCGCCGGGGGAGCAGGTGTATGCGTTACAGTATCGGAAGGTTGTGTTTAGGTGGTTTAGTAGTAAGAAGATTGAGAAGGCGACGCTGAAGGAGAATCAGTGGAGGGTGTATGCTGGACGGGGATCAGCGGATAGGAATGACTCTAATAGTAGTGATATCGTAGAGGCGAGCTTAGGCGGGTTAGAAGGGGATGACCTGTCGGATGATGGGAGTGATGAAGAAGAGGAGGATGATGAGTTGGGGGAGAGATGGGTGAGCAAGGATGGTGAAAGCGTTTGGGTATTATAGAGCCTTGACAGTTGTTGAAATATAAATAAAACTATTTCTTTTTGGTAGTGCATTTCTGTCCTTTGTTGAACATCTCGGATCTATCGGTGTAGCCTGGGAACCCCAAGGAGGACCCCGCTAACCAGCCCAACACCGAACTATTTTGTGAAGTTGCACGATCGTGTCGAATCCCTTTGGATGAGCTACTAGTCTTGCTCATATCTCTTGGCTAACTGTGATTGGTGGTCAACCACGCCTCTTCCGCTTTGGTCGGGGTAATATTTCCAAATGACATAAGCAATGGAAGCCTTGATACGTTTTAGTCGCTTTCCAACCAAGCCTTTCTCCTACGTCCCATGCATGGCCAATATGAGATCGTTAGGGATAACCTGATATCTCCGCTCTGCAACAGGGTATTATGTAGGTTGATAGGCCATACGTCATCCAGACAGGTAATTATATTAAACTCTCAAGACTCACTTGAACGCACCTCGTGGATTGGACAAAGTACATGCTTAAGCTTTGTTCGTCAGGAAAAATCTTCGGAACCGCCACCAGCCATACAGTTTCCGGTAGAATTTGAGACTTTGCGCTGAGGGATCCGGAGTCTTTTTTGACAGACTTGGCATTAATTAGCCAAGGAATTATAGATCCAGCCTTGCATTTGACTCCCAGAGAGAGGGCTGATCGCGAAATTAGACCTCCACTCCTTCTATCCTTTGTAGAATGACTAAATGGTGGCCTTTTCTTATGAGGATTCTTTTATGATAAAATTCAGATGCAACTACACCTTCTATTAAATCCTCAACAATTTAGCTAAAGTATTAGTTGTAGAAAAGAATTATTTACTTTGAGGTTGAATTTTCTCTCTCACCAAAAAGTGGGTAACGCCAATCAGTGGCAACCAACATCTGGCTCCATTTTTGACCACCCCAGATCAACGAAAATCCATATAATGCCAAGCTATAGGGAAGCTTGATGCATCCAGCATAAAGTCTCTATTATTGCGGAAACAGTGGGAAGCGAGCGCACTGGTGGCGACAGCGAAGTGGGTGCTCCGATTGGTTGATATTCACTACACCGTGACTGAAAGCACACGAAACTTCCAGAATAGTTTGGGTGAGTTGAGAGTTGAGAGTAGAAGGTAGAGATTCAAATGAGAAAGTAGGGATCAATAGATAGTTCACATGGACAAAAGACTTTAGTTGCGCACACAATGATGACAGTCAGAACAGCCGATGTTAGCTATGGGAAGCGCTGCTACATACAAGACCTGCGAAAGACCGGATGGACCTATGAGAAAATTGTAAAAGATCAATTAATGCCCCGCTCAACTGTGGCCCAAATTTGTACAACTCTTGCTACTCCACAGAGAAAGAATAAATGCAGTCGCAAAGTGAAAATTGATACTCCTACCCGCCGTCGACTAGTATTTACCGCAATCCTGAATGCCAAGAACCTCCAGAAAATTATGTCAGAAATTGCACAGCTATGTGACCTCGGAATTGATTTATCAGAAAAAACTTTGAGGTAAGCTTTTGCAAAAGAGGGCTACTACCATAGGACTGCTCGGAAAAAACCATTTCTGAATGAAATCAAAAAAGAGAAAAGACTATGGTTCGCGCTTGCACATCAGCATTGGACTAAGCATGATTGGAGATGCATGATTTGAACCGGCGAATGCTATATCTAGCTTGAAGGTGTTCATAGAAAAATCTAATTTCCGAGAGCAGAAGGGCAGAAGCGGTTTGATGAATGTCTTGTATCGAAATTTAAAAAAGAAAACTCTGTAATCATTTGGGGGAGGTATTTTGGGGTTAGGGGGTAAAAAATCAATCGTAGTTTGGGAACGGAAAACTTGCGGTACCATCACAGCAGAGAGATATGTAAATCACATTTTGTGTCCCATAATTTGGCCTATGTGGTATTGGGAAAGTCAATAGCAAGGTAATGGTTATCCACTTTGGGTTATGGAGGATGACGTATCAGCCCATACGGCTACTTTGACAAAGGTAAATATCTCCTATTCACTCCAAAGCCGATACAACTTGAATTATACTAAAACTATTTAGGAGTACCTGAATTATTATAGAATATCATCACTCCCCTGACCACCATCATTGTAACGGGGGTCTATGGGCGTAGGGACTATGGTACTAAGAAATACAACTGAGGCGAGGACGTGGCAATAGGTATTCAAGACTATGGGCTATGGAGTGGCTCTACCTAGTATGACAAACTAGTTGAACCCTATATCGAGGCGTAGAACAAAAGTAATATTCGTGGAGTAGATACAAAAGTTCCGTAAAGAGAAGAGGAAAGGAAGGGAAACATCAAAAGGCATGAGACAACACCCCCTTATATATCCAACTCCTAGTCCGTTGATGACTAATACCCCGCGTAACGGAAACCGAAAGAACATAACAGAAGACCCATTACAAATCATAGTTCAACCGCGCAATACCTCCTCTTCACAATCCAATCTATCACCTTAGCCGAAATACAATATTGCCGTTACAATCATCTCCAGATCCGAATCCTATTGAGAATATATGGAATAATCTCAAAAATAGACTTAGTCAGAGGCAGCCGAGGCCAAAGGGTAAGGCAGAGGTCAAGGTTGCTGTACTACAGTAATGGGAGAAAATTACAGAGGAAGAGATCTTAAAACATGTAGATAATATGCCAGAGCGGATACAAGATGTAATAAAAGTGGCTGGTGGTCATACCCGCTGGTAGAACTCGTACTCGATGGCTTCTGATAATTGATTTTTTGATATTCGCCACCCTGTCTTACACCCCTGCTCGCTAACCCTGGTTTCCGCAATAATTCTACCGGAAACTGTAGTCACCCCACATGTAAGCAGGGTGAGTAAACTACTCATATATATAGGGCTTTTCTTGAATTTCACATTAATTCTTATCCTTGTTTATCGTCGCCGTTATTCATAGCCAGAAAGACTCCAATCGGACCTTTCTCGGTCACTTTCTGAAACCATTCATGTAGTCACCTTTATCTATCCGTACATATGTCCTTGGACAGTCATCGATCAGATACTCCACTCAGGTCCGGTATCACCCATACCCTAGGGAGACAGCTTAGTGCTACTAATTACCATACAAGTATCGGCGCAGGTATCTCCAACCTTTTAGAGCCTAGTAATAGAAGCCACGTGGAAAATCAAAACCTATACGAATATGAACACCCACCAAGAAACGGATGTACCGGTATGAGTAACTGTTTGAACGTTACTTTCCACCCTGGGGCTCAGTCGAAAGCAAGTCACCTCCTATATAGGCTCCCGCGACATTCAACGGATATCGACCGTCGCGGAGGAGTCGAACTATTCAGAAATTGATGAGCATAGATGCGCGGGTCCAACATTTCTAGTAATGTCCATCCAAAACCTCACCGAATCCGGTTGCTTTTAGGGGTAGTCCCCTACCCAGCACCACACACCGTACGCCCACCCGCCACCCCACCCACCTTATCCGTCCCCATTTTCTCCCAAAAGCCGATATTGCAAGACCTCCGAATCAAAGGCCGGATAGTGAAATAATGGATCTCATGTCAGCGATCAACCAGTGATCAATGATGGCAAAGCCGACGATCAGTCCCAGCCAGTACTTTATAATTGAGGTGTGCAAAAAACAAGGAACGTTGCGCTTATTTTTTGATTACCTCACTGTCCAGCGACACCCTTAGTCAATTGCTACAATTCATGTACTCTCAGAGCTAGTAGATGGGGCGCCTTTTTCTTTAGTCCATTTTGGTCAATAACCTGTTGTTCCGTTTCTGCGAGATTCAGTCGTAGCTCCAGCATCAATTTTGGTCAAAATTGATGGTTGTAGGGATTATCTTGCTGGATGGCGAATAGCATTTTTCAAAATTGATCGTTGGCCTAAAGCTTCTATTTGCCTAGAATTCTCGTCTCTATAGATCCTTGGTATCATGCAGGGCTTAAGTGCTTCTTAACGAAATAAAATCGTAAGGCTTAGTTGTACTACGGGTGCCGGGGTAAGTCTGTAGACAGGTGGCGGTGACACACAAGCAAATGTTCAGAGATCGTCCCCCAATGCACCGCCACCTGTCTACAGACTTACCGTCACAGGCGTAGTACATGTGGTGATCTATTTATTCTATTACTTTATTTTTTGTTTCGTTATGCTGTATATAGTTAGACAAATGCTGATAGCTCTGAGTCGATCGCCACCCAATATGCAATTGGGCAAAGAATCTAATAAAACCAGAGCCCATCGCTAACTTCCCAGGGTTAGGGTTATCTAGCTTTAATTTTCACTATTTATCTATATATATCGGTCAGTGATTGATCTGGATGTTGGCAGTGATGTATAACTCTTGATATCATCCGGAGAACCAGGTATTAGTATTATATTATGATATTCCATAAGGAAAGTAGTTTGTGTAGAATTAGAAGACCGGCCGCCCAGATCGCATTATTTCTCGACCAGATATATTTTCACTTATGTCAAGGTCGTAATAGTCGGAGAAAGGGCGGCGGGACGAATTTTCTTTTTCCTTTCAGGGTTGCTTATATCCGGTGCTTCGCCTTTTAAATGATGCCCTAGAGTTGAGCTTTGTGGATTGTTCCCCATATCTGCAGAAGAAGAAAAATAGATGTTAAATTGTTTATTTAGAGTCAACTGCAGCGTTGCAACTCTGCGTTCTAATCTTGTGGTATCCATGGTTATGTTGTCCTTTCTTCTGTAAATCAAGCAATATGCTTGTCACATTTGTCTGTGGCTCCATCGAATTAGTTGATGATTATGATGATGATTGATAGATAAAAGGGGGAGACGGAGGAGAAGATGAGATTGGATGGATAGAATCTGAGGTAGATGATGATGATACAAAGAACTTTCGGCCGGGGAAGAGGGAAGGAAACGACATTAGGGGCAGCTGTGAAGGGAATAGAAACTGCATGTAGATTATAAAGCGGAGATCGAGGGAGTAAGGGAATGGGAGCGCTGATCGATGGATAGATAGAATTAAACAGCGGGGAGCGAAAGGACAGTTGACGGATACAAGTTGAGAGACGAAACTGAACCTGGGGAGGGACGTTACATGCAGGTGTCGACTCCAATGGACACTTACATGCAATTGTTTTAGCCTACAATCGTATCTAATCTAATCTCAATCTCAGCAAGCAACAAACAGCAGGCGGCAAGTGGCGTCTTAGCGCGGAAGACTGGTTTGTGTTTACACGGCACTTTTTGACCTAAGCCTCTTGACCACTCAATATGGATTTCCTTCTCTTTGAACGAGATTTTTTCGTACTTTCTTTGTTTTTGTTTCTGTTTCTGAGCATTGACATACGTGTAGCATTATACCCGCTGCTTAGACCGGAATATGTATTTAGAAAAGCTTTTTCGAGGCAAAGTGAAACTGGGAGCACCGACCTGTATACATTTTCATACGTTCCCCTAATGTGAGTAAGGCTTTCGACAGTTCTCACTGCACGTAAGCGACAGTGCTCGGAGGTCTCCCGCGAATGTACTAGAAAGGAGATGATGAGCCACAGAATGAGAAGAAAAATAAGAACCTCCACCACTCTGTTTGCAGTCTAGTTGTGGCTTAGTAAATACTATGGGAATTCTCATTATCAACCGTAATTACACGATATTGTTTATCCTCACTCGATTCCTCATCTTCCGTATATATAATGGCGCTCTTGAATCATATCGGTATCAGGCCAGCGAAAGAGTAATATGTCTCCGAAAGAAGTGGGAGAAGAGACCAAGGCAAAAAGTTTCTACGACCCAAGCTTAGTCTATTACAATCTACCTTACAGATTTCCCTAATCCTTAGGTATTCGGAAGCCAGGACAGTCCTAGTGAAAGTCTTAAAAGAGCTTTATTCGACGATAATACCGAGCAACGGTCACGATTATGCCCAAAACAGGCCAAATTTGGGCTTGTTTGAGACATAAGGCTTAAATAAGGATTACCTTCTGTAAATCAGTCTTATAGAAATACCCGTTTTGACCCTAAAGTAAAGTAGGGACTAAGCTCGTTGAAGAGACTAAGGTCGTTTAGGGAATAGGTTCGGGAGAACGCTTCCCAAGGTATCACTCGTAATTAGAATTATGGTTTGCATGGTATAATTAAGGTTTAGTCCAACCTTTACCATCAACTTCCGGGATATAAAGACAGCTACAGCTACCTAGTGTAGTAGTGTAAACATCTGACATATGTCGGGGTGTCTGGGGTTCAACTCCGACCTGTAACGGGTCAGCGGCACACGATACACAATTGAGGGCCTCAAAGGTACGTCATATTGTCCACACAGAATGCATATTGTCCACACAGAATGGATAAACGCCTTGCCACAGAGGAAGAGGGTTGACCGATTACTGTGCCATGACTTTATTCCTCTGGAGGTAGGGCGTAAGACTCCAGCTGTTTATCCAAATTAGCCCAACCCCACACTACACATAAGTGGGGTCGCGAAAAGAATAAACAGTTGGCGGAAGCCGATGCAGTTTTTTCCTACAAACCGAGTGATATTTCCTGCACCCGCCCCCGGTGCTCTGGACTCGCCCCAGTATTATCTGGACTATATTACGAATATGCTTCCTTAAACTTGTGAGGATGACCCAAAGTTATAGTACCGCCAAAACTCAAAAAATTGGCTATCTCTGGCCAGGGATTATCACCCGAGTGATTGGTTGAATGGCATCGATCTGCATCAGAAGTTTCCCATACAAGTAATTTTGATCGAGTTATGGCGGTAATCCCATATACGCACGAAGACCAAAATAAGGAATTCCAATAACCGATCCTGATCCTTCTTTCGGCAATCCTAACCCGATGTGCCCCGACAGCAACGACGTACAAGCCACTACCCCCCAGCCACAATAGCCCACAAGCAATACCTCCAGCAACAAACGCCACCACCGGACTCTCAACACCACCACCCTCATGCTACCCCCTCCAACCCCTCTCCCCACCAGCGGCTTCTACACCATCACTCACGACACAGCGCCCCTCGCCGTCCACCTCGAAGCCCTCTTGGAAGTGCTCCCTCCCACGACTAAGGAGCTTCTCCAAAGATGGAGTGCTCGCGTCGGGACCATCGACGACATGCAGTTCAAGACCCTAGACTACGCGGTCAAGGTCCTGCAGACCCACCAGACCGACACCACGACGGTCTGCCCGCTACTTGAGGAGCTTGGGAACGCAGACACGACCGCAACGCGCATCCTCGAGCTGTATGACCAGGTGCATGGTGGCCTACACGTTTTCTCGGCCGGCGGGGGCAGAACACCCTCGACGACATCCGCATCCGCATCTTCGTCCTCTGTTTTGGTGGGCCGCACGAAGCCTCACGGGCGTTCCGCTAACGTGAAGAAGGACTGCCGTAACCGTGATGGGAATAGGTCCGTGCTGAGTCAGTTTATGGAGGAGGAGGGGTTACAGGTCGCACACATCATTCCGTACTCGGCCAGCGGAGAGAAGGCGGATATGTTCTGGCCCTTCATCGAGATGTTCTTAAAAAAGGATGGGGTGACAGCGTTGAAGGGTCTTGTCCTGGGGCCGCAAGGGACCACCGATCATTTGAGGAATGTAATGTTATTGAGTTCCACAGAACACCAAGCCTTTGACACACATAAATGGGAGCTTGTCCCGGTGTTGGAGATGCTTCCGTATAACTCCAACACCTGCTCAGAGGTAATCCCCAATTTCCCACTTTTCCACTCAATTATCCGTACCCCTCACAACGCCGCTGACAATCCCAGTACAAAGCCCGCGTGGGCCTCCTCGGCAAGAGACTTATTAGCCTCAGCAGCTAATCCAGGCTTCCGCTGGCACACAGCACAACGGCAACATCACCGATGGACACCTCGTCACGCTCACGACGCCCAACCCGGCGAAGCTACCATTCCCGCACCCACTGCTCCTGCAGCTCCACAGCATCTGCTCACGCATCATTTTCCTGCGGGCCAGCGCGGGGTACCCGCTGACAGTGACAGCGAGCGATGAGAGCGACGGAGTAACCGTGTGCCATCACCTCGAGGACCACGACCCAGTGGAAGGAGGGGCGCTGGAGAGCCTACAGCGCAAGCTGATCGGGGTGTCGCAGGTCTTGAAAACGGAGCTGGTCGAGGCATGGAGAGGCTCAGTTAGCCCTGCGGAGGGAGAAGGGCCAGCGCCAGAGAGGGAGCTGGTGGAGGACTCGGAGCCTGAATCGGAAGATATGTCGCCAGCGCATGGGGCGGTTGAAGTGACTTGTAGATAGATATTGTAGGGTTACAAGAACAACCGATCACTTGCACCTTCCTGAGACTCATAGCAACCAAAACTGTCCAGCGAAGAAACCTTACATCGAGACCTTCTAGGTCAGAAGGATAAGTCAATCCTTTCCAAGCATCTAACTCCGTTTAGGACACTTAAAATTATTCAATTGTTCTCCCGGCTCTTGAGTTATTCTGATATGAAGTGCCATTAGGTAGGTGATTGGTTATTTTTGTAACCCTACAAATGTAGATACTTGATCGATTCTCTAGGACAAGGGAAGGGCCTTTCTTAATGAGTTAAACAGAAAAAAAAAAAGGGAAGGGCCTTTCGGATTAGTTAGGGTTAGGGTTGGGTAGACCTGACTCTCCGCAAAATGAAGACCGTACCTCACTGTTTTACTCCAGTCATTACCCAAAGACCAGTATGCGGGGACTACAATCCATCCCATAACCCCGCACAGTTAATCGTGGGAGATCACTCGAGGCTTACGCCACGAAGCGAGTGGTCTCTTCCAATGGAATAATAAAGAGTATTTACCAAGTGTCAAATGCGGGGGTTTACACTTCAAAAATGACGATTTCGGGAGGCAAAATTGACAGTCCTCCTCAGTTGCCTATTAACCCCACGAGGAAGGTATGATTGCAGATATTACACAGACTCAAGCTTTCTGTGAAATACGCGGACAGGATGTGAAATCCCCAGGCGTATTCTATATCCATCGCCGCCAGAGTTGGCAGTTTCGGTAACCGCTTTTAAATAGACCGGCTTGCCCATGCTAGAGCGAGTCCCCCCCCCCCCCCCCTTTTCCCCCTTTCGTTTTTATGTATTCTACCCATGTTGGCGATCGATCTATTAGAGCGTTTTAGTAACCGACTTGGGTCCAAATATTCCAGTTCTTTGCAACAATATTTTATTGTGAGTAGCCCACTAAGAGCTCCAAAGTCGAACCCAAATTAAAAATATGGTCGGTGCCATAACGCCTATTATGATCAAATGGGACCGAGTGATCCCTGATGGCTACTCAGCCTGCAGTGTTCTCAACGGGGCAGCCCATCCGCTTTCAGCCTCGAACCGAAACGGAGCGCAAGAGTCGTCCGTCCTTGAAGGTAGCCCGGGACCGACAAAGCCGCGAAGTTAGAGGACTGAAGACGGCCGTTGTGCCCGCCGGGGGCTTGGCATTAAGTGACCTAATGTAAAATATGTGAGCTTTTGATTCTCAACAGTATAAAGGAAGCTGTAATTACGAATGACTTCTCATGATTCTAGTGAAGGAAATTACTTACCGTCAACGGCGGCAGACGGCTATTACCTGCCAATGACTGCATATGACTGCATATGACTTCATATGCCTGCGGGGGACGGCGGGGGACGGCCGTTACCCGAAAGTTAAAGAGGCCTGCAGGGCCCTACGGGCCCGAGGGTCCTTTGCGGTCCCTCGGATTCCACCCCCGGACGGACTATAGAGCGCCATCCGTCCAGTCCCCACCTCTTTTCAGAGCCCTACCGGGCGCCCGGCGGGGGCCCCGGACGCCTGCGAACATTGAATTAACACCACACGACAAACGCATACATTCATTCTATTCTTCCCCTTCTTCTTCTCTGAGTCCGCCCCATCCTCGCTTTGCTTCCCTTTCTTCTTCGTCTTTAGATATACCCAGGTTCAATTTACCTAATAGTCCAACTTTTTGCTTTTCATCTTATATATAAGTATACCTAGAAAAAACATAATTTAATGTCTATCAAAAAGTGTCAAATGCCACTAAGGATTCATTTAATGATTCATTTCGCATAGAAAAAGATTCATATACTATGAGCTTCAATTAGTAAACAATTTAGGGTGATTCATTTATTGATTTGATTAGATTGCTGATAGAAGCTGAAATACAACTAATAAAAATGAAAGTAACAGCAAGTATCCTTTGTTCCCTGAGGGTGCGCCGTCCTTATCACAGTACTACTTGGTGAAAGGCGTAGAATGAACCGTCTCCCCTGACCGAGAGCCAACATTCATTCTCTTCCTCTCAGTGGTAATATAATCAGCCTAAAGTTAATAATAAACCCTAACCCGTTCGCCGAGTGATATGTAATGACGAAATTAGCACCAAAATCTATGTGCACTAGTTAGAATCGATAACTTCACTTGCCTACACTCCCCGAAATCAAAGATCTCCTCCGTAGATTTCTAATCCAAAACACAACAGTGCCCTACGTAGCAATACCCCATGCCATAATCAGTAATCGGAGCCAAGTGCCTAAGGCCATGTTGCCTACCAAGAGTGAGGAGTGCTGTGAAGAAAATATCTCATAAACAGGGCGCAATGGGCCGAAAGCACGCCAAAAGTATTTTTCTGCGTTCCGTGCTGTAACCATAATAATTCCCCGCAGGATAGACCCAGGTTCTGCACATTCGGTTAATAGCCGAGAAATGTGGGGGAATTCAGCCTGAAGTTGAAGTGCACATCAAGCTTCCCCGCAAGGTGCTGGTCGGGGAGCGTCGGGGTGAGACGCGATGAGCTTCGATGAGTTTGGGGTCGAGCTTGGATATTAAAATGTGGGGTGGTTATAATGAGCTGGGGAGGAGGGGTGAATGGGTATATATAGCGCTAGTGACAGCAGTTGAGATGGAGTACGAAATATACTGCAATTACAATGCGATTCTCGAAAATGACAGAAACAAAGTTCTCATTCCTGAAGGTTGACGGCGAGAAGATTGTTGATGAGAATGGCAACAATGTGATCTTGAAAGGTGCGGGTTTGGGAGGGTGGATGAAGTATGTTTCCTTCCTTTCCACAGCTTAAAAGCCTTCCTATGATTCAGTACACTGTATTTCCCGATTGATCCTCCGTTCATATCCCACCCACTCCGGCTCCTAGCCAGAGCTCACTAGAGCTAACCAACACCCCCCATCTCAGTATGGAAAACTTCATCACAGGCTACCCCGGCCACGAGCACCAACACCGCGAAGCAATGCTTGCAGTTCTCGGACAAGAAAAATATGAATACTTTTTCGACCAATTCCTCACACATTTCTTCAATGATGCCGACGCCGCGTTCTTCGCCTCACTGGGACTCAACTGCCTCCGCATCCCTTTCAACTACCACCACTTCGAGGATGACATGAACCCACGCGTGCTCAAGACCTCCGGGTTCAAGCACCTCGACCGTGTAGTGGATCTCTGCGAGAAACATGGAATCTGGACAGTGTTGGACTTGCATGCGGTGCCCGGGGGACAAAATCCGGATTGGTAGGTGTTGTGCTGGGTGTTGGGGGCTACAGCTGCGGAGTGCGAAGCTAATATAGAGATGACTATAGGCACTCGGATAATCCGACGAATGCGGCATTATTTTGGGAGTATAAAGATTTTCAGGACAGGGTGGTATGGCTGTGGGAGGAGTTGGCAGAGCATTACAAGGACCGCAAGTGTATCGCGGGGTATAACCCTTTGAATGAGCCTGCAGACCCTAGTATGTTCTTCTATGTATGCCCTTCATGTGAGGACATGGTTTTCTAATGTAGCGAGCAGAACATGTACGACTCCCGAAGTTCTATGACCGCATCGAGAAGGCGATTCGAAAGGTTGATGCGAACCATATTCTTTGGCTCGATGGAAACACATTTGCAATGGACTTCAAGGCGTTCGACAGTGTGCTACCCAACACTGTCTACGCCATCCATGATTACTCCGTAAGTCTGTCCCAGTCCCTACTTCATAGAGTTAGCGCTCTCCGCTTTTTCCGTCCCTGCTAACTGTCGTTCAGCTGATGGGTTTCCCTACTGGTTCCCCATATACGTCCACCCCCTCCCAGGACCAAAAACTCGAATCCCAACTCCTCCGAAAGACCGAGTTTATGCGGAAGCACAAGGTCCCCATCTGGAACGGCGAGTTCGGACCAGTCTATGCTCCGCCCTCCTCTCCCGATGCAGATACAGTAAACACGCAGCGCTACAACCTTCTCGGGGCACAGCTGCGCATCTACGAGAAGTACAACATCGGCTGGAGCATCTGGACATACAAGGATATCGGTATGCAGGGGATGGTGTACGCAGATCCGAAGGGGAAATGGATGAAAACACTCCAGCCCTTTATCGAGAAGAAGAAGAAGGTTCAGGCAGATGCGTGGGGGTATTGGCCTTCGGACGAGGTTGACGGAATCTTTGGCGTTAGTCCCTTTTAACTCTATTCCTTTTGTGCGCTGTCAATGCTGATAAAGAACAGCCCCTCATAGAATGGATCTCGAAAAACGCGCCAGAGGCAGCGCAGAAGTATCCCGATCACTGGGACGTAAAACGCCATGTGTCGAGGCTTTTAAAGGAATGTTTTCTGAGCGAGACGCTGTCTGCAGAGTTTGCGAGATATTTTGAGGGTATGGGAATGGAGGAGCTAGGGGATATGGCAAAAAGCTTTGCGTTTGAGAGGGTGGTGCAGAGGGAGGGGTTGAACCAGATTTTATTGGAGCATGCGTCACTGGTGTAAAGCGTAGAAGCGAAGTTCGAGATACACTAACGTTAAGTCGTTGTAATGAATACAGGAACACGTTTTAATGGTGATAACCAGCTGCAAAGCAATTATGAGAGAGACAGATATACTTGTTTATCTTAGGGCGCAATATTTGTAGTATCGAGTGATAATGCACGCCCCAAACGCCAGATTTAAACCTATGCGTTTTAGTAATCGATCCACCACTAAGAGCGAGAGAGGGATACTATCGACGTGATACATACAGTGTATCAAAGAGACATTGGTATGAAGTTCATGGGTTGATAGTAGAACCTGTGGTTTGGCTCTGTTTCAGGTTTGACGTAGGTTTCTATTCCAGAATCATCGTTTTGACCGTTTCGATCTCAGGAAGCTATGCAATATGTATCCCCCATTTAACTAAACTATAGCTATCGCTCACATTAGAGCGATTTGGCCAACCACTTCTGAACCTAAACATCTAGTTCTTGGCGACAGTTTTTGGTGTGAAAATCCCGCCAAGACCTCAAAATTTGAGCTCAA